ATTCATTGAAAAGTATGTTGCTTTTTGAACATTTTATAATTAATTAAGTGTATTTTATTTTTAATTAAGCTATTTTTATCGTCATATTAGTAAATAAGGAATTTTAACAGATTTGTTTGGTATATACAAAGTTTGAAAGCCATTAGATTATTTTTTGGTGTAGCGTGGTATTGATTGAGCATCTATTACCTATTGTTACAATAGTGGTAAATGTGAATGTGAGTTCATTACTTATGGACGCGGAATCTTTATATTATTGTTAGTAATTGAACTATAGTCCGTTCTTTTTATCACTGACAGATATTGAAATAATGTTACTAGCTTTTGTGTAGTTCTGTACCTACGATACCAATTTGTTGACTTGACGTAAAAATTTACTTATACGATAGTTTTAAAGATTTATATGAAGTTTCCCTAATATATTTTTAAAATACACGTACTTACACTGGTGCGTATTTACAATAATCGTACTTTATTGATACGGAAAATATATCATATTTATGGTATTAAAGTACAAAAATATTTGTAAAACTGTTTAAAATTTATTGTTTCTTGCAACGTAGCACCAAACTAAAGTTATTTCCAAAAGTTATTTACAAAAGAGGTACCTAGTTAGGATTTGATTTGATGACGAACTTGTTATATCAATAAGTTTTAAATAAATTGTCATAGGTACATTTTATTGTAACCTATAAAAATCGGTATTAATTTTTTTACGTTAATGCCACAACAATGCTTTTTTTTAATTAGAATCACAAAAATTTAGCATTATATTGATAACATCAATTATATTTCAGAGAGAAAAACAAACTGTAGTGGCCATTGCTAATAATATACCTATCATATCGAAATCCGATATTGTAGGTAATCGCACTCGCTGCGTAGAATCTTAGTTGGCAATTACGAACCGTCCATAAATAAGGAGACGAATTTCATAATTTTGACCCTCGTTCTTGTCACAGCTGGTCACATTTTTAAGACTACCCCCTCGCATTTGTAAATTCGCCAATTTGTAGGACTTATGAAATTCGAAATTATTTAAAGCCAAACATTGGTATATCTCCCACCTATTGTCACAGGATCTCACATTTTGTCGCCCCCCTCACCCACCCCTACCGTAATAAACGTAAATTGTAATTTATTTATGGATGTCATTCCTAATGGTGGGCTAACTGACTTCTAAAATCCTCTACTGGTTCCCAACGTCATTAAAACAAACCACATAACTATTTTATCGTTGGAAAAGAAATGACTTAATTCGGTGATTAGAACCAACTGTTGTTGTTTTAGTTCTTTTGACCGAATAATTAATAACTTTACTATATAGGGGAGGTCGTGGCAAGATGGGGTACTTAAGCTTTAAAGGTCTGTAATATAAAAAATTACATAGTGAAACAATCATATTTATTTTTTAAATAACAACTAATTATTATTATTCTTATATTTTGTGTCATTAGGAACTTTAGGTAACACATTTGAGAGAAAAAAAAAAAAATAAAAAAAAGGTGTTTTGCCCCGTCTTGCCCCATGGTGCTGGTAAGATGGGGTACCCCCCTGAGGTAAGATGGGGTGATGAGAATGATCATATGATCTCTGTAGAACAATGATTATTCGAGCTGGCAGAACACGTAGACATGGATGACTTCATCATCATCATCATCATCTTATTTCTACGCAGCTATTATGAGTCCATCTTCCACTTAATGAGCATGATATCCACCCTTCAATGGAAACGGAACAAACTTCATCACAATACATACATGGTGTGTTCCCCCATCTTCACTTTCATATTCAGATGTTGAAACTCTTCATTGTTTTGCTGTTTTCGGTGATCGGTTATTCTTCTTTAATTTTTTATTTTGATCTTTTGTAGTAGTGTTCTTCTGTTTTTTTTTTTATATATTCATCTTTTCTCTTTTTTGTTTCTATTTTCTATAGTTTTTCTGTTCACCTCCGTTTTTTTTTGTGGGCGATGACTTCTAATTCTTTTTTGTAGGAGGCGACGTGATAATTGCTGTGTGTCCACGCTTTTTAGCAACACGAGAGAATTTCCTTAGGAAGCCTTAACTTTTCTCTCTATAACCCATTTTTTCATCCAAAACCGCTTGAACTCTTCGCTTCCCGCATGGATTCTTCGGATCACGACCGACGACGTTAATCGTAGAATCATTCTAAAAAGACAAACTCACAAAAACGAACTCATTTTTTGGAAAACAAACTAGAACCGAATTATTCTCATCAGTTACCCCATCTTGCCTGCAGAGCCCTTTTATATAAAAAAAATAAATAAAAACAAAACAGTCAATAATATTTAAAGAACACAATGCCTACTTTTTTATAGTTTAGTTTAAGCATCAGTCACAACAACACATCACCAGCTAACGTTATTTAACAAACCACAGTCACGTGTTAAGCCAGAAGAAAATGTGATAAGCAACTTGCAATAAAACACTTATTTTGCATTTTTTTCGACACTGTGCACTTGTGAACCACTAAACACACGGCGACTGATAAGTCTCATGGTGGCGCGTCGCACGATGATTGAAACAGCGTGATTGATCAATTTGAACTGTAAATTTTGGTGGGTACCCCGTCTTACCCACTACCCCATCTTACCTCCATCTCCCCTAATTTATATGCCATAATTTTTTGATGCACGTTAATATGGTTCATTTAGGTAATGCTTATAGCTACTACCAAAAGTACTGTTACCGTAGCAGCAACTGTTTTTGAGGACCTTTTTAAGTAAAACGGAAAAAATATTTCAAACATTATTCCAACACTCATTATTCCTTATTACGAGGTCGTCCCAGTATGTCATCTTATTTTACCTTGTATTTGCGCTTCTTTTATGCACATCATCTTTCACATAATCCATCCCTGTTGTCCTCTGCCTCTAAGTTCATCCACGTTGATTTTAGATACTTTTTTATACACTCCTCCACATGATATGGTATTCCATCACTACCATTATCTATAGTTCCCCATATAGGATAACGCAGTTAAAGTTTACTGTACCTATTGACATCGGTAATTAAGATTAGCTGAATATATGCCATATTTATAACTCAAAACTCTTGAGTTACATTGACTATTAAGTACCTACAAGAAATATATTTCCATGTGACGATTCCAAATAGAAAAGAATATCAGTATAAGAAAGAAATTATATTTGTCTTCTGCGAAATAATTTCAATTCATCTCGCCTACCCTTCGTATAATATATTAAGTTATGCATATGTTTTCACATCTATATTAATATATACGAGGCCATCGTGTTTGTTTGTAAAAGCGCGCTAATTATTTGAAATTATTAACCCGGTAAGAGAAAAATATTAAATATATTTTTCTCTTACCGGGTTAATATTTTACAGACCTATGCTTGAAAAGTTTTTAGATTATTTAAACATCACGCATTTAAAAATTAGCATGTGATGCGATACTGTGTGTAAGCGAGAGAGGGTGGCCCCGTGTCCTTTAAATATTTAAAACGTGGTAGAACCCGTAGGGCTGTACTAGTTCAAATATAAAAAAGTAAGAAAGTCAGCGCTGGTTGACTTTACATTAAAGCCAAAAATCGTCCTTGGGATACGGTAGATAACGTAATGACATGCTTGTTTGTTTACAGTCGCATAATAACAGTAGTTATGTTTGTATATTACATGTTACAGTTTTTTAACAACTATTTAATATTTTTAGAATATATATTTACAAAAAAACGGAAGGTACTGTAATAAATATGCCGAATTATCAAGAGCCTAATTCGACTTTTATACGAAACCGCTAAGTCACAATTATTAAGTACTTTATAATCCCATAAAAAACACGAGAAATATATGAAAGAATAATATAAATTTACTTAACCGCAAAATTCTACCCTTAAAAGCGAGAGGGCAATAGATGGCAATGTTAATAAACACGCAGAGTACAAGGTCACACGCGGCCCCGCGTAATTCAAATTTGTGCCGCAAGTAAACTGTTCAAAGTTATAAATATGGCAAAATTCGCAATGACTGCCAATTATATGGGGTTAGATGGAACTTACCTGAGGTTCACGGCGCCTCCATGAGTTAACAGGTGGCCCTTGCAACAAGTCGTGCGGTTCGCGCCACAGGTCGCGAGCGTGCTACACTGCCGGCAGTCCAGCGGCGACACGAGGACGGCGAACAATCGACGCAAGCGCGACAATACCCCGCTCCCCCCATCGATTTTCTATGTACGCAGCCTTAGGCGCGGTATTTACTAATGCAGAGAAACGCCGGCCCGAGTTCCCCTTCATAACACTTTTCTTTAATTTAGAGGAAACTACCAAACGTATAGCGGTTACGGTGCCGCCCTGACGAGCGGTAACGTAATCGAATTCCAATAGGCTTCCAACAGTTGGCGACGTCACATGGCGCGCCAAGTACAAACTTCGCGCACTTTATATAGAAACAAACTTTATGCAAACTTGTTAACTTGCAACTTAAGTATGTGGACATTGGCTAACTATTATAACATTTGAACTTGCAAGCTAAACCGCTACATCCTATCTGCTCCGGCAAACTTCTTGTGCAAGTTATAAAGTTTATCGAAAAGTTGTTATAGGTTATAGACACTACAAATTCTCATAGGTTATGATTTCCCGCTGAAGTTTCGATTAAACAATGAACAAAGAACGCGACTTAGATTGGTAGTTTCCTCCATTATATCAATATAACAGTATTTACACACTGTTTTACTACAGTAGTTTGTTTGTTAATATGTGTTATTTTAAACTTTAACCTTTTGACAGTTGCAGTTACAAGCTGGTGCACATCTGCTCCCTAGAGTAATAAGTTTGAGTTTTAGCGTTTTTATTAAATTTTATTAAATATGAGGATACACGCTGAAATATTTGAGATTATTAAAATGAGTTCTAAAATATATTTACACTTCGAAGTCTTCAGAACGATGTCATGTTTTAGAGTTTATCTATAATTATAATATATAAAGTCATGATAATATTTTGTATTCTCACTATATTTTTTTTACTTAGCAGCTTAAGTAAGTTTTTATTGTGGTATAAAATTTATATTAGCACCTCTGTCATTATAAAATCGCAACCACTATATAATTTTGTTATAACGTTACATCTATTAAATCCAACAAGATAATAAATTTTCATAGTGAAGAATAAAATAATTAAAACGAGTTCATAGGTTGTTGTAAAATGGCTCCAATCGTCCTCCCCAGCTTGCTCAAGAACACATGACGATGCCCCTGGCCACAGTCGACATTTTTAACATTATATCTTCCTACAGCAGGCCAAACGACCATTCGTTGGTACCCAGGGGCCTTATCATATGAACTGTTAAAACCTTGTTTGTTCTGTTGCAAAATTCTCGGCTTGTTTATATTTAAATGTGCCGGACCTGGCTCTTCCGGACGTTTGAAACACATTGATACATCCACTAGAGCATTTCGCCCCCGGCACGGTTGGCTTCTACTCGTTTTATTCATAACACCAAAATGGCTTTTCTTATATTCTTCCAAGCTACCTTTAAGTGATATCGGCCAGGTTGCAGCTGCGCACTTCAATGAAGTATTAAAATGATTTTTTATGGTGCTACCATCTCGTTTCCCTGTAAAAAGATCGTAAGGACCTCGCAAAGATACGACTTTTTTAGACTTTTGTTCAATAGATTCTTTATCTACTATAATATAACGGTTAGGCGCCAATGACCATTTCGGAGAAGTGTCTTTGAATCGGCATGGTTCTTCGCGATTAAAAGTAGCTCTTGTTGAATGCGATCCATAGGGTTCTTTAAAGGGGACAGCTCTGTAGTACGTACCCGGTCCAGGTATTTCATTCTTTGAAGGGCGACTTCGGGATGTTCTTCCAAAACTAAGATTTTTACAAGCTGGTTCATATTTCGTGTTTGTTGGAATAACATGCCATGCTGGTCCTAGCAAAGAACGTTGCCATTCTCGCTGCTCTAAAACACTTTGATTTCTGTATCCTAAGTTTCTCGCCCACTCTTCTAATTCCTTTTTGGATTTCCAAGTGTTTTTATCATCTTTTCTGTTTCTATTCACTTCAAATATTTTGTGAATGGGCTGCGGATGATATAGGCACGGATTGCAGCCATGAGGTCTTGTAGTATACAAGCCACTCGGGTCTAGATTTGGGTGACATATTATATTGCCAAACCGCTTCACACAAGATTGGAAACCTATTTTATTAGCTTTTGTTATAACCATTATAATTTTACAGATTTAATACTATTCTTTTAAAATTATATATTCTTATGAAACACAAGAGTAAACTAAATGTGTTTAGTTTTTTTTTTATATAAAAAATTCATGATTTTGTCATAGCCTGTCAAAACAAAATTACTAACGTCTATGAAGCGTAAAGATTAATTTACAAAAAAGTTTTATAATAAAACATAGAGATAATACTTACACACTTCTTTTGTAAAAAATATTCAGAACATCAAAATTAAAGGATTACATATGACATCCTACATCATACTTAGTTTTTAATTTATAAAATAACAAGTATTATCAATATCATCCACTTCAGAGCACCAGTATTTTATTGGTAACTATGAAATGTTACAACCACCTACAGTTATTTAATAAGTATTTATTCTATTTTTTAGTAAATATAATCTGTATTATAGTTCCTACAAAAATATTACATACACAGTATACCACAATTTCTCCTTTATATACCAATTAGTAATTATTGTTACATTCACGTGATCATTCAATCTAAAATATATTATATGTAATAAATCTAACCAAACGTTCTACTTTTTTTCTTTAATAATAAATAATAAAGCTAAGCCCTTTGCGGGTTTAGTAAATAAAACAATTAAATTAGTTTTTAATGGCCGTTTTTATTGAGGAACAAAGCTAAAGGCAATTTATGTAAACAACGGGTATTAATTTAATTTAATTATCAACATTTTACATATAATCAAGGAGACTGACATCGTCATCGTTCTCCTGGCTATTTTCCTATTTGGGGTCAGCTTTCCTGATAGTTTAACGGTACTCTTGGAGATTTTGCATCGTCACACGTAAACCCACGACTAAAGATCTTGCTGTATGGTTCTGAGCCCAGGGGCTGACTTACTTTCGACAATGGTAAGTGGACAAATCAAGGAAGCTGACATGTGTGTACAATTTTAGTTTTGTTCCCCAAATGTTCCATTATCCGTTTATTGTAATATTTTGTGATAATACATTAAATACAGTCATATATTTTTACATTGACTATGTATAGTCCGCATTTGGAATACTCGCAATTCATTTTATTACTACTACAAAAATAACCGTATAAGTTCCAAATGAGACTACACATTACAGCTGATGTTAAGATAACTAATAGTAATTAACTATTTACAAAATCAACAACTAGACTGAAAAGCAAAAAATCGTAGCAGTCATATATGAAGAATTAAAGAATGATACTTTATCATTTTCCGCTTAACACTGAAGTTAAATACAAAAAAGTTTCAAATAATAAACGCATGAGTGATACAACATTTTGCTAGTCGTTGTTACTCGAAAAGATACACCTAATCTTAATTATAGAACTAAACTGTTACAATGATGGCCACCACACCTTGCCATATGTTATGTATTCGAAATGGCAAAACAAAAATATATATATTAGGGAACGAATAAGTTGACCGGAAACAAGACAGTATCATCGTATATATGCTGTTAGGCTTAGGCTGTTAGAGATAAATCTCCAGTGTCACTGTACGATACAAGTGTTTTTGACGCTATTACATTTTAGCCGAGAACAAACACTGGCTGAAATTTTCCTTAATAGTAATTCGTCACAAGTTGCTTTAAAACCTTATTCAATAAAAGTATAATTTATATTCAATAAAGCTATTTTTATTATTACTGTGTATATTTAAATAAAAATAAGTACAAGTAATTAGCAACTGTACAAAACATCGTATAAATACTCTACATGTTTTCAACATAATATTGTACACGATCTATTTTTGATAAACACTATACAGGTCTATATGTATAATATAATACAAATTTTACTGAAAATATAGTTCTTTAATATAATTGTTATGATAACTTCCATCTCTTCACAGATAAATAATCGTCACTCTTATATTGGTCACTCCGTACCGATATTTCATTGACATTTTTTTACTATGTAAATAATTTTAAATTAACTAACTATGGATAGTTGCTGTTTTGGCAGTTTATTTGAAAACGTTCTACTTTCTAGTCCATATGCATGACAAGTATGCAAGCTAAACAGTTTAAAATTCATGTTATCAAAAAAGCAATATTAACAGTATCAATAGATTGCATGGGTATTATTACATTTGTCGTATATTGCGTGATACCCCGATGTCACATTTATTACCTTGCGCAAATTAGACTAATAATAACAAATAATACATATATGTCATTGACTTCTGCACGATATGACAATAAAATAGCACTAATGTAATTGTATTCGTGACGTTGTAAAGTGGACTACATTTCAGAATAGTGACTTCTATTTCTTTACCGATGCAACTAAGTTTTATTTGGTTAAGCAACTTGTGGCGAGATTCTACCTGTCAAATATTTTGCAGTGTTCTAAAATATTTTCTATTAAATTTATACCCTCGAACACCCGTTTGAGTGCTTATACGCACAGTACGTGAAAGCCACAATAATTTGCATAGACAATAAGGAAATTTCTATATATTTTTTTCTTGCCTAACAATTTGCTACACACGTTAAGTCTATCGTTTGAAAGCCTACGTAGTAACATAGAACACACTTCCAACTATTATATAAGTACACATTTGAACAATAACTGATTTTAAATATCAGATTCTTAAAATTTTACTACCAATAACTGCGCTATTTTGAACATGATCTGACTAAAAACTAACTGTAAAGGAAGCCTAGTAGATCGGCACGGATGATAAAATTTTACACCCCTATTAATAAAATCTGCTATGACCAATTTAAAAATATTGGAGATTTTCATCATTTTCTAATAAACAATGATTACACTACAATAGATCAGATATTCCCCAACGTTCTTTTAAAGAATTATATGTACACACACATATAAATAAAAGTATAGTGTAAGAATGATTGGTAAATATGAAGTCAAAATATGTTATTTCATTATTTGGAACACAGGTCAAGATAATTTTCTTTAGTTTGTTCTAATTATAAGTACTATAAAACCTTCGTAAAGGTCACTTGCTCATATTTCATGTTTAATGTGATGTACAAATGATTGATTTATGTGTGGGTTACATGGTTACATATTCAACACAAACGTTACGACCCGTAAGCCAGCATCAGGTTAAAGAGACCAATTTCCTCCTGCTCAAAAACTTCTATCATGGTTAAGATAGTAGTATTATAGCGTAATGAACGTCAGTTGCGGTTCCGAGGGTGGGTTGAGGAGCAGCATCCTCGCAAACGTGTCAAAATATTCCGTCATTTCCTCAGGATTCAAATTGCTATGCTACACTGCTATTCAATATACTGGTTAGACTATAATTTAATACAGTTTAACTATAATAACAATTGGAACGAGAGGAAATTACTGATTTCATATTTTAAATATTTTAAGAACACCTTTATTAAGCTTCATAATACAACTATCTTAACGATCTTAGTAGTTTCCACCGAGAGTAAATAATTGACTAAATTATACCCTGGTTCGCTTCGAAGGGTGACAGACGAACTTGGCACAATTAGTTAAAAATTTCATTGTTTTTCTTTTAATATAACATGTGGTTATTTACTAAAAAATAAATAAATGATAACATTTAAGATAATGTAAATTACTATAATGGATTTCCAAGGGTGATATGTGGTGGCGTACCTAACACCTGAAGCCCACAATGTCAATATATGGGGCCGTCCTCATTAAAAAATATATTTTGGCTGATTTATATAACAAAATGTACTTATTTGGTTATAATTATGGGGTATATATGCATAATTATGCCAGCATTAGTTATTAATTTTTAAAAATATGTTCTCCACTTATAAATACAAACACACATTCCTTTGTAAACTACATCAGGCAAAATAGACATATATGAAGATTGTTTTAGGTATTTATACACAATATTTAAGGCAAGTACAATGATATATTAAAACTTCTCGCTTATGTAAGACGATATTCGATATTATTTCTAAAGTTTTCGGTTATCACAGATCGATCGCAATATACTCAACGACTGAATCAAATCTACTAATGATTGAAATACTCTAGAAATGCATAAATTATATTGCCACAGATTATGTACAAAAATCATTAACATTTTTGTGTCATCGTTAATTGCGCGTTTCATTTAATGCTAATATTTTCAGATTAGATATCGGTTTAGCGTAAAAAAAAATATTTCAAGTAATAATTATATCTATTCATGCCATTACCTACTCAACGGAATTCGATGATGGTAGGACATATTTTATACTTTTTCATCTGTGAATGTCATTTTCACACTGTATCAATAAGCATAGCAAAACGGGACAGACTAATATTTTATTTCAATATTATATACTTTTTTAATGTACCACACTACACAATATTACTACTAAAAATATCTTTAGAAAATTTAAATACTGTATTTCGAAATAGGTATTTCTGTCAACTATTAAGACAGACTATGTTGCCGTATTTTTTATGGTGATATATTCAATGGATTTTGTCTGTAATACTAGACTGATTCTAAAGTTTTCTTAAGAACAAAAATGAATGAATGAATGCTCTACAGGTACACAAAGTTGTTAATACAGTATTTGCAAAACAAATTCCAATTTTAAATAAGGCACTATAATTAATGTCTCTTTACTAAATATTGTTGATTATTTATTACATTTTCACAATAAATAAGTATCTTTTTGTGATAGGGGCAGTGGAATTACAAATTACGGAAGCATGACATGTTAGTAATCACGACTGGCAACACGCGAGAGATATCATGAACATTATATAATGTGCATTGTTTCCCATGGAGGTGTATATACCTAAAGACGATTGTAGATCAGGTACTCTTACAGCTTGTTATACATTGCAGTCAAATAAACAATCCCTAATAGGTAAAGATATATCTATAACTTTTTTTCTAAATTATTAGTGCCCACCCTAAAGCTTACCGTGAAGTAATCAGAAAGTAAATTAACTCTATTTTCAGTTAACACGGTTAAATTTTAATATATCATTGTATTATTGTCATAATAATTAATATATAATATTATTATGTAATGTCCAATTTAATATTATGCAAAATTCAACACAAGTCTACACAGAAAAGAAATATTTAATAAACGCAGAAGTCTAAACTTAGCCAACAGAATTTTATTTTATTCTATTGCATTATAACAATGCGGTTTATAAATAAGAAATCTTTAATCCATTGATTAGAATTAGTAATAAATCTGGGTTTTTTACTAGAGATCTACATTAAGTGATGAGATGGTTAACGACTCGTTAAGAAATATCGAAAAGATCCACTTGTCCATTAGTCACTATCGAGAAAAGGAATTGAAAAGAATATTTACTATTTAGAAAAATTAATTTAACAACAAGTAGCCCTTTATAAATAATACTATATATACATATTATTTTATATTAGAATTTCTCTTCAATAATATTTGCTTTTTCACTTCATCTATTGAGAAACTTTTATAGAAATTGCTCTTTAACAATTTCATTTACAATGAATAATAATATTGTTTATTTAATAATATATAACCAAATATTATTAAAAAGTCTAAAACCAAGTACAACAATCCACGGTTACCTAGTTTATTAGAAATTACTTGTACTATAAAAAAACCGAGGACTTGATTATTGTGACACTAATATAATCATTATTTCAACAGATTAAAAATTAACGTTTTATAATTTTTATCAGATTGGTTGATATATAACATTTATAAACCAATCTGATAAAAATTATAAAATGCAAATGTATCACATAATCAAGCCTCGGGATAGAACACATATGGCAGCTTACAGCAACCGGCCAATGCTTTTGACAAATCTATACTGATAAATGTACTATTACCTATTTTCTTTAGGGAAGAACATAGTCCGGGATTGACTTTAATAGATATATACTACCTATGTATAATTTATTTATTTAGTATAATTTAATACAAAAATATAGGAGCATATGGCGGACTCAACACCGAAAGGCATTTTCTCCCAGTCAACCATAGGGTAAAGAGATTAGTGGGCAGTTCATTTAAGTAAATAATATGAAATAATAATAATAAAGTGAAGTATAAATGTAATAAAATTAATAAATAAAAATATATATATCAAATACATACATACTAAACACAAATCAACAATTAATAGTCCAGTGAAAACGGGAGATAATTTTGACAAATTTCAATAAATTTAAAGTCATTGAAAAGATGTAGAAGATGGACTAGATTTTATGTCAAGAGGCAAAGCGTTACAGTGTTTAATACCCTGAAGCATCATAGATTTTGAGACGAAGCTCGCACGATGAGCAGGAACGTGCAAAACTTAATTCCTATACGTACAAAGGTTACGGAGAGGTGTCCCCATGAAAAAGAAATTTAATATAAGGTACTCGGTGAGTTTGGATCGTATAGTATTGATTACACTATACACCAGAGGCGAACAATTCTGCGTTGGCGGATTGGAAGCCAATATATAATAAAAATATTTGGCGTGAAGGAGATACCGGGATTGTCATCTAGATATTTATTAATAGAGATTTCACAATTATTCAAGGACAATATGATATCTGCTTTACTATTTAAAAAATTCAATCAAAAATGTGCAATATATTTAAATGCCTTATCTTCAGTTTCTTTCTACAACCCATTCGTCAATCTGTCAACTGTGGATACGTTTTAATTTAATTAAATAAGAAATCTTTATTGCATTTATGAGTGTATACTAATAACTTTTCACTGTTTTATAGTAGTTATAAAAATTTTTTATGTGATTGGAACATATGATCGAGATAGGAACGAACATCAAGAAAAATTAAAAGAGAAATCGTAGCAAATTAGTTATCGGTCATACAAATACACATCACAGCTATTCATAAACATCCCCAATGAGGTAGTCAGGGCCATTATCAATTTTCAATGTTGTGGTGAAGTTAAACACATTTTGTTCTGTACCTATGATTCAAATCCAACGAGCTACCTTTACAATTATTTTTTGTCAGCAATACAAAGATGAAAACTTTGTAGTAGAAATTAATAATCAATATTAATTTTTTTGTAGTAATGAGGTCACATTTACTGTTCTATGACTCCAAGATAAAGTAATATCCCTTATAGAGCCTTTATAATATTTTCACTCCAGTTTTTATATTCACATCTATTTTTATTTCAATATTAAATTTTATTCCGTTTCCGATGTACCTAATTTAACCGTGATTTTAACTCGAAAATGGCTTGCTAAATACTAGGAATGATATTTAATGTTGAAATTATAACATCATCGATGAAATGAAATTATAATATAAACTCAAATGACATGATAATCTATTTATACCAATATAAAGAGTAGTATCATTAATTTTTCAATTTCAAGGCATTGCTAAAGAAGAGAAAATATAACAATTTTATTGAGAATCGTATAAATAATTTCTAAATATTTGAATTGATCTAAGTTTCAAATTAAATTTCTACTTCATAAAATTAATGATACTATCATTATTTAAAAATAATTTGTATACACCATAATGACAATGAAATAAAGATTTTTTCATGCGGCGAAAATATGTATGGCATGCTGTAACTTGGTTTTTGTAATATTTAATCAGTCTGTCAAAGTAAATAAATATATTCTAAATATGAGGTACCTATTTTTGAGGACCTTGGTCAATGTAGAAATTTTAGACAAACTTCCTTTCTTTCAGAATGTCGCGGGGTCCATCCACATATAATATAAACATAGTAATTAAATCAGATTGAATTATATCAATCATCGTTATTATTAAAAAAATATAATATATATTTCTTTTAAGAAAATAATAATCACATATTTTTTTGTTTTAATGTTCGTGTTCTTGAACTACAGGATTTAACTTCAAATGGGCTTCCTATCATTCTCTATGTTTACTCAGTACCACAATATAATTATCTTCCTATAATTTATCTTTTGTGCTCTTTTTATGTACTGCATCTTGGCAACCCAATCTGCATCTAGTTGTTACATCCATTTTTTTCCATAGAAGTCATGTTTTCCATAGAATAGGCTAACCCCATGCTATGAAAAACTAAACACAGTCTAGATTACACAAACCCGATCAATTAAACTAGATTACGTCATTCAAGGCACTATAATTTACCAGGGACTTGCTTCGCGATTTGTAGTATGCCTTGGCTTCAGTACAATTGTTGTAATGCAATGTGTTAAGTTTTGAAAAACAAGAGTATTCTGCACACAGTTATATAGAACTTTACAAAACACAAGCACTAATAAAAATAGAGGACAAATGTGACAAAATATGTGGTTATTTGAATGTAAATCACGATCTGTGGCACATATAGAAGATGAACAAAATCAATTATATTTTGAATTTTTTTAAGATTATTACGTACGTAAAATGTATTCAAGAGATGATGCTGAATATTTATTACTAGTCGTATTTCCATTCATTCCTTTTTATAGTTACTCATAAACTAGGAATTTGTACGAACACTTTTATATTATTTAATCTATTGTAAATAAGGATATTTTCAATAGTATAAACAATATATGCTTATGTATACAAAAAGAACAGCGTAAGTGTTTATATTTGCTTTGAGGTAGCAGAATAAAGGTATACTTAGATTGACTTTTTACGATCAGAATCATAATACTGATTAAGGAAAAGTTAAGTCTCCCAAAATACGACACTTGTATATTACGGTAATAAATCGACAAGAATATAAACTACTGACTTTTTCTTTCCTGCTCTATAAGCACCGGTACAATTATACAAGTTTGATACCGGATATGGGGCAGCAAGTGTCCTAACCATTGCAGCTACAGGAAAAAGATTTTTTGATAACTAAACACTGGGACATAACTTTATATAATAATCAGTACTCCTAATATAATTATAATAAACCGACAAACTTTCAGAAACAAAATAAATATCCTACATCGAATAAGAATTCAAACACTTTGATTTAATATTATAATTTTAACATAACATATTTGGCGACTTCATTTACATTAAAATCAATCTAATATGTTAGAAGAACAAGTCAAATTTTTACTCAATATGAGATTACTTTAAATTTGTACTAACGCGAAAATAATATATCTCTCACATTTTTATTTGAAAACTACCCTGGAATAAAACCTACATATACTGATAATTAAAACGACCGCTACCAAACTTCATAGATCCTCGAACACGATTCGCATGGTTATGTTAATATCAACAGATTATATCCATTGGAAAAATAATTTAACATCTATAAAATAGTAGCCCCTCTAAGTAACTGTAATTTGGCTGAATGAATTCACAGTTTTAAATTTCGAACAAGCCACATCCCTATGGACTTACATATCCACAAACACATGGCATATACTTATAAAATACGTCAAATAATAAAATATTTCACATAAAATGTCAATAATTACCGGCTGAATAATTATTAATATTATTAACATATTACGTAAAAATTATATTAATGAAGTATAGTAGTCAATACTTAGTAAGAAGTCAATACTTAGACAGGTCTATTGTTTACACATCTAACAATTTATTAGCTAGCCTTACGACATACTTTACCGGAAGGGATGTTCGAGTGTCGCCATCCATTTCGGTTTACATTGGTTAATATTTAGCTACATATAAGTCACTTACAGAGTAGTTCCGCCGTCACAGTGGCTCAGTGAAGACAGTATCTTGTTATCGCCTAGATTACATTCATCGTTGGGGATTCCTGCGTATAGCTTTGCGAACACGTCGACCAACGGCATTAGGGGAGCTACCCATATTAAACTGTACTTGGGGGGCACCGCCCGCTCCTGCGCCGAAATTGTACATCCCCGCTGGTTGCATTGCTGGCTGCTGTGGCGCAAGCGACTGTTGTTGCTGAAAGAAATAAATACATTAGACAACAATTTCATTAGCCTTATTTTTTAGATTCTCCTTTAACCCATTTGGACATCACTAACATAGACATGCACCTAGCTCTACTATCAGACCCTAAAATAGAGTTTACAAACCTTTATTTTTTATAAAAATGTCTCGCGTATTGGCAGAAATCCTCTTAATACGATTCGATCGTGCTTCGTGGGCTGGGGTATCTACTAGATAAGTCTAAGGTGCTAATCACGGCACTTTAAGGCCACCTGTATCACTTATAAAACAATATCTTACTTCCGATCAAAAAGTGTCTACATAAAATAATAGCAGCTATTATCAATTACAAAAAGTTTATATGATACTATTGTAAAGCATTATTTGGTAAAATTATCGTTATCTATAAGAAAATAGGGAATACGCATGTGATACAATTTTTAAAATACTTATTACGTTAGAATTATATCCCTATAAATATATATCGTTGTAATATATTGAAAATAGACAAAACTGTAAAATTTCAGCACAGAATAATATTTCTTTAAACTAAGTTTTGACCTCTTTACTTCTTTTGTTTTATGTATATTATTAGCTGACCCCGCGAACTGCGTTCCGCCTCAGAATGGAATAATATGTATAATAACACTTATAAGGTTTTTAAAAGTTTAATTACGCAAATTGTACTTAAACTTAAACATACCTTGGAGTTCTACAAATATTTCAAAACCAAGTTATAGCAAGACTAAAAAAACAAAATGTGTTAATTTCTCTCTGTCTAAAAGTTTTAATACTAATTGCAATATTAAATTAAATGACGAATCTCTCGAATTTATAGAATCTACTGTCTTTCTAGGAATCACACTAGATAATAAAACACAATGGGGTGCACAAATTCAAAGCCTTGCAGCGAAACTAAGTTCAGCAGCTTTTGCCGTGCGTAAGGTTAGACAGTACACTGATACTGATACTGCTAGATTAGTCTATTTTAGTTATTTTCATAGTTTACTTTCTTATGGAATATTACTATGGGGAAAAGCGGCAGATATTAAAAATATATTCATATTACAAAAACGTGCCGTTCGAGCGATCTACTGTATGAAGAGTCGTGACTCATTAAGAGAGAAATTCAAAGAGGCAAATATTCTCACCGTTGCTTCTCAATTTATATATTCAAATATCCTATATGTTCATAAAAATCTTGACTTATTTCCAAAAAACAGCAATATTCATAATATTAATACAAGATTTAAAGACAAACTTGCTGTCCCCAAGTATCGTTTAGAAAAAGTTAATAGGTCTTTTATGGGAATAGGTATAAAAATTTACAATAAGATACCAAAGGATATGTTGGAATTACCCTTAAATAAATTCAAAACATCTGTTAAATCATATTTACTGAGCAAAGCCTATTACTCACTAAACGATTACTTGAATGACGAGTGTGCATGGCAATAGTTGTTCATGCACTGAATTTTCATTTAATGTTAGACATAGACACCTATATAAATATAAATTGTAAATAACCTGGCTTTAAAAAAAAAGTAATTCAATTGAGTTTCTTGCCAGTTCTTCTCAATTGGATCTATATACCGAACTGGACGGTAGGGAAAAAAATAAAATTATAATGTAAAAATTTGACGTTCATAAGCGGCTAAAATGTCCTACATGAATAAATGATTTTTGAATTTGAATTTGAATTTGAATTTGAATAAAACACAATGGGGTGCACAAATTCAAAGTCTTGCAGCGAAACTGAGTTCAGCAGCTTTTGCCGTGCGTAAGGTTAGACAGTACACTGATACTGACACTGCTAGATTGGTCTATTTCAGTTATTTTCATAGTTTACTCTCTTATGGAATATTATTATGGGGAAAAACGGCAGATATTAAAAATATATTCATATTACAAAAACGTGCCACTCGAGCGATCTACTGTCGTGGCTCATTAAGAGAGAAATTCAAAGAGGCAAATATTCTCACCGTTGCTTCTCAATTTATATATTCAAATATCCTATATGTTCATAAAAATCTTGACTGATTTCCAAAAAACAGCAATATTCATAATATTAATACTAGATTTATAGACAAACTTGCTGTCCCCAAGTATCGTTTAGAAAAAGTCAATAGGTCTTTTATGGGAATAGGTATAAAAATTTACAATAAGATACCAAAGGATATATTGGAATTACCCTTAAATAAATTCAAAACATCTGTTAAATCATATATACTGAGCAAGGCCTATTACTCACTAAACGAGTACTTGAATGATGAGCGTGCATGGCAATAGTTTTCATATTCGGGATTATCATTTAATGTTAGACATAGACACCTATATAAATGCATTGTAAATAAAATGGATTTAAAAAAAAAAGTAATTCAATTGAGTTTCTTGCCAGTTCTCAATTGGATCTATATACCAAACTGGACGGTAGGGAAAAAAAATTATAATGTAAAACTTGACGTTCATAAGCGGCTAAAATGTCCTACATGAATAAATGATTTTTGAATTTTGACTAACAAACGTCATTTCATTGATATATATAAGACTAGCGGTACCCGCGACTTCGTTCGCGTGGTTATCAAAAATACTTCATACATATTTTGGGTAACTTGAACCGTTTATGCAGCGCACGCAACGGAAACCCTCAAATATGAATAATTTTTCCTGATGCTTCGTTTTGTATTGGTCGTACGTAGAGTCTAATGTTATATAACTTAAAGCCTTCCTCAAAAAATAGACTATTCAACACAAAGAATTTTTCAATTCGAACCAGTAGTTCCTGATATGAGCGCGTTTAAATAAACAAACAAACTCTTCAGCTGTATAATATTAGTATAGATAACAACATACCAATCGGGAGTTTATAATATGAGATTGCAATTGTTAACAATTAAAAAAAAAGGCTTTAAACAATATTCTATGCCAGATAGACCAGACATTTTATGTTTTATAGATAAAAATAAATGCAAAACTGATTAGGAAAGTATTAAAATCAGATATTATACGTCTGAAATAAATATACAGACTATATTCACATAACACTATATTCAACAAAACTTCACCTTCCGTATGTATTGCAATAACCAAAAAAATTGTGTTTAAAATATTCGACTGCAAAGTTGACTTATAATATATATGCAAACTAATTGACAAATATTCTGGTGTATATAATACTAACTGTGCCCGTGAATTCGTCCGCTGGATTATTCGCAGTCCGCATTAATGTTTAATAATGTAACCCAAAAAAGTCAAAATCATTCTAGCTTTAGGGTAAAAATTTTATAAATTTTTAAATTCACTACTACAGTTATTTTTATTTAATCAACAGCCTAAAATTAAAGTTTCAAGTTTCTAGCTTGAAAAATGATGATTCTTTCATACAAGCTTTCGTCTCCCCTTTCAACACCTTAAAACTCTTTTAGACTATCTGTGCACCAAATTTCGTTTAGATAAGTTCAGTAGCTTTGGCGTGAAAGCGCGACTAACAGACGTTTAAACACATAGTCACTTTATACTATTAATAAGCAAGTAAGTTTTAAAGTACCTACAGTTAGATTAACAATTTTGCATTTGTTTAATTGTATGCCATATAATAAATGGGCAAATACATATATGGAAGACCAACTTATTATTTACCAACTTTTTTTTGGTTTTTTTTTTATTTTATAGATTTTTTTATTATTTTATAGTTTTTTTGTTGTACTTTATTGGGATATAGCAAACAAGTTGACGGTTAACATGATGATCCGGCCACCATCATCACCGTCGACTATACATGAACAGCATTATGGGCCTCACATTGTCATGTGAGATTGCGAAAATACTCATGCGCTGCCATACCGGAAACTTTATCATCTAATTTTATATATTATCATATAATTTTATACCTTTCACCATATTTGTGGTTTTTATATATTCTTTTTCAATTATTTAACAAAAAATATAATGCAAATAAAATCACAGACAGTACAAATCAAATGAAAAATATCATGCATATTCCCCATTATTAAATTAGAAATGTATATATAAAACACATAGAAAATTAATAGTACAAATTGGAAATTAGGTAACTAGAATGTATACCTAAAATTCTAATCGTGAAATGCCTCTTTGGCTATATTATTCTAATTTAGTTACTCCATTATATAATAATTTTATAAGCATAGTAATTAACTTAAAAAATCGACAATCATCTAGCACCCAACAAATTAAGAAATTAAGTTTAAAATATTCTTAATGTCTATAAAAAAAAGTTTAACAAATATTTGTCAACGCATGTTTAAGCTGAAACAATCACATGAAGAAAATGAAAAATGTAATATATACTAGAATATACGATAAAGAATATAGAAAATAAATGAGAGATGACAGGCAAAAGACAAAGAATTCTATAATTACCTGTCCAAATCCGAAAATTCCAGAATTTTGTGATGATCCAAAATTAAACGTTGGTGCTGACGCCGGCGTTAGCGAAGGTGCTTCAAATGACGGGATTGAAGGATTAGATGTTCCGAAAGTTGGGGCTGAACCTACATTTGGAGCACCAAACATTCCCAGCGACGGCGTCGGACTACTTGACGCTTGTGGAGTACCGAATATACTTTGTGGAGGCTTTGCCGGGGTCGAAAATATCGACTGCTGGTTATTTGTGCTCTGGTTTGACATAAATATTTGTGCAGATTGCGTGACGTTTCCGAAACCAGTAGCTGCATTGTTATTAGCATTGTTATTGAAAGGCGAGGTAGTTCCAAAGGTAAATGCTGCTGGTTTTTGAGAACTACTGGGATTGGACACAGCATTTGATGAAAACAAGTTAGAGCTAGTACTATTAGCTGTAGGCCAAATGTTTCTTTCTTTCTGTACTGGTGCACCAAATAAGCTCTGTGATCCTGTTGACAAAGCCTCAGTACTTTGTACATCATTGCCAGTAGATAAAGGATTAGCAGGTGTTTTGCTGCTACCAGGTAAATTGCCACTAGATAGAGCATTGCCTGCAGTCAATGTGTTGCCCAGGGTGCTTGCTCCAGTTAAGACATTGCCACTACCTAGTGGATTACTAGACAATGGATTATTGGTTCCACCAGAAAACGTAAACTTGTTAGGACTGGCATTTTCAGAAGATCCAGCAAATGCTTGTAATTTAAATTGAAATGGGCTTGCCTCATTGGAATTACTGACAGTACCGAAGTTAAAGTTATATTTCGGATTTTCGGACTGTGGCACACTTGGTTTTGAGTTAGCCCCGAGAGTCCACAATGATGCTGTAGTAGCAATAGATGGCGGAGGAGCAGCTGTCGAAACTGGCTCTGGTTTTTGGAATAATGACACAGATGAATTAGATTGTGGTTCATTCTTCTGGAATAATGGAAGTGAAGTAGGATCTAGACTGGGTGCAGGCTTTTGAAATATATTTACTGTAGATGTCACTGGAGGCATCTGCAAAGATGATGGAAATGACACAGTAGTAGTGGCTGTAAGTTCTGATGGAACACATAAATTAACTGCTGGCATAGTCCCTGTTGTAGACCCAGTGAATGAAAATTTTTTTGGGGGCTGAGTTATGTCACTAACTGTCACACCCTTCTGCAAACTCAGCGATGTATCAGGTATACCTTTGTTCTCTTCAGGAATTAGACGTAACGTCTTGTCTGTCGGAGTTTCGTCCGTGTTTAATATGGAACCAAATATTGGAGTAGCTAATGGTTTCTCGACAGGTTGAGCTGAGAGTATAAGTTCAACTCTTGGAACTTCTTGTAATTTCTCTTTTTCTTCAACATTCTGAACAGGATCAGGCAATTTGCTTACATTGGCAATATTCAAAGAACCTGCAATTTTTGTGGCAGTTGGTATACCAAATGAAAATTTAGGGCCTTCATTGACTTTCTGTTCAGTGTTTTTATCTTTAATCTTGTCCTTTTCTGTTTGAGGCGGTATTCCGAATGTGAAAGTGGGAGTTTTGGACAAAACATTATTATTTGTTTCTGATTCTTCTTTACCTTTATCATCTTGTTTGGGAATATTAACTGCTTGAAAATTTGGATTGATACCAAACTTAAATGTATTTTTATTTACACCAAAATTGAATTTTGCAATTTGGTTCACCGTGCCAGGTCTCTCAGATTCACAGCAAACACATTTACTTCTATTACTGTCATTGTATACCAAACAGATGTTACATTCCCACTTTTCAGATTGTGATTTTTCAATATTACTGCCTACATTATTTTTTTCTAATGGCTTGAATGCTAATGTTAAAGCATCTGACTTTAATGCAGGAGTGCTATTTTGCTTCGCCCCTGGCTTTGCACCCCCACATGCGGCGCACTTATCCACACTACTTTTGTTCTTTATCCAGCAATCATCACATGTCCAATCATTGCTTTTCACCGTAGAACTTGGTACCAGCAATTGTCCTTCAATTTTCTTGGAATTTAAAGCCCCACAGCTAAGACATTTCTGTACACCTTCCATATTCTCAACACAACAATGACCACATTTCCATTTTAATATATTATTTGCCTTAGGTTCACCTTGTACTTCAAAAGAGGCATTTTGCGATATTTTTACACCACAGCGTAAACATTTCTCAACATTCGACTCATAATAAACGCCACAATCGGGACACTTGTTTTTAATAGTATTATTATTAGCTTTTAAGGTTAATTGTGTATCAGAACAATTAGTTGACATATTTTGGCATTTCATGCATTTGTCTTTATTTGCTAGTTTATCGGCAACATTACATACAGAACATTTATTCTGTTTAACCTCTATTTCTGTAGGTTTCTTATAACCACAACACACACACTTCCCAACATTGGTCTTGTTGGAAACCCAACAGTCAGGGCATTGCCAATCTTTAGGTTTAGCTGAAACGGCATTACTTTCTTCTTTTGATGCACCTAAAATAGAAGAATCTATATTTTTCATTTCATCTACAGTTACTCTATCTATGCCACGTTCTGGACTACCAAATGTGAATTTAGGGATTGTGGATGTGGGTTCCGATAAATTCGGCGATATCATTACGGGAATTGAGAATTTGAAAGCATTACTACCAGAAACATTTTCAGGCTTACTTCTTTTATCTTCAGATGCTTTTATACCGGAATGTGAATCTGACCTACTGATTGCTACAGATGTTAATCCCGATTTAGGAGTAGAAACAGCTGATGGTTTATAATTTGAATCATCAAATGTAAACTTTGGTAAATTGTCATGATCAATTCGCAAGAACGCTTTTGGCAAGCTCAGAGGTGGTTCTATTGTATAATCTGTTTCATCACGTCCTCTTCCTTTAGGTTTGGTTAGTCTTGATTTCATTTTAGTTATTCTCTTGGAGTTATCTACGCCATTTTGATCTCTGTAAAATGAATATTTGTATAATTTTTTACAAAATTTAACTAACGGTAATAAATATAAAATTTGTTCTAAAACTTTTATTAATTACCTTTGGTAATCTGTTTGATCCTGATTGTAAACTTGGTAGTCTGAAGAAGCACTGCTATGTGATGCAATTATCTGCCTCGCTGCATTTGTTGTATCCATAAGGCGAGAACGTTTTCTTAAGTGTAATACAGAAGCAATAGCAGGCACATGCAATTCTTGAGTTTTGTAAGCTGCAATATATAAAATATTTTAGAATACTGTCAGCAAGATTAAAAAAAAATAAAAATATTTAAAAATAATTACACAGTGTTTTGTTGTTTGTGCAACTAGAGTTTAATGAAGTGTTACTTGATGGTTTCTGTGTGGCATTCCTTTTATATGTTGGTATCCTTTGAGCTTCTTTCAGCGGAGATGTACATTGCTCGAGTAAATCCATAACACGCCTGGCTGAATGACTCATTGTGGAGTTATCACTATTGGTTGTTTGATTTACAAGGGTAGTCTTCTTCCGTTTAATATTAGGTTGGTTAACATAGTGAGAGGCTGCACCGCCATAAGCAGTTCTTCCACAGTAAAACGAAGATACCAACAGACTTGGTTTATAATATGGTAGTGTAAGATCAAGACTTGCATTAAGTGCTGTTCTACCTGGAATAAAATATTAAACTTAATACTTAATCCATGGAAGGGCTTATAGAGCAACTGAAAATCAACTGAAAATCCCGCTGGTTGAACACAAAAAAGCCTGATGGAAATTTATTTTAACAGGTAGGCTTTTGCTCCCCAGAAGTCGTTATACTAACTGTAGACAGTTCTATTAAATCTTTCTTGTTTTTGATGACGTACATTTTTGTCAATAATAGACCTTATATAATATAACTTTCCAAGTCCATTTCAGTTCTCATATAGTAAATTACATTAGGTAATGATTGCCCAGAGGTCGATTTTGGCCATAATTAATTTAAGTTATTGAACATTACTATGTTTCCATTATTCCAGGTTATGCTTCTAAAACCACAGATTTCACCAAAGTTACACATATTTGCCTACATGTTTCAAACATATTAGATTAAAAAAAAATTCAAAATAGGATTAAATTATATAATATCTTTTTTTTTTTTAATCAAAAAGACATACAAGTAATATTGCTGTATATTGAACTATGGTTATGTTTAGCATTTACAAAGACTATAGATAAATAATATTAAATACAAACTATATTCATATATTGTTAATTTGACGACAGCTATTAACATTAAACAAAATGGCTAATGGCACAAATAGCTGGTTCAAAAACAAAAAAAATGAAATTAGGTTCTGGCTCGGAGACTATAATGGGTATCCTGTGCGAATAAGAGTACCTCAAGGTCAAGTCTAGTCATATTGTGCCGACATAAACAGTAAGCACTATTGTTATTGCTGCTGTCACTTGCATCACTTTATAAATAAAGGAATATATTTTTTTAAAATACAAAATGTATAATGTTTTTCTTTATCCATTGTCCACATTTTTTTAAATTAAGTTTCACTATCCGTGATGCAAAATTAATGCAAAATTATGACTTGCTCATGTGTTAATGAGTCCGACAACCTTAGTATGCAGTGTTATGGTCTGAGACTGCATATTAGTCTCTAGTCTATTAGAATTAGAAAAATGCTTATGTCGAATAGATTGGAAAAAGTTTATTGACGTACTGGAATCCCTATTGAATATGTTGTTGGTTTCCAACAAAACAAAGACCCATGCCATAGACCCAAAATCACTATGATTTTGTTTCAGAAAGATGGTATAGAGAGAATCTAAGTCGTCCTCCTCAACCAGTAGATTGAATATTTATATACAGATTTAAAGCGCAAGTTAAAGGATCATTGTGTTACTTCTAAAAAAAAATTATTGTGTCATGCAGGAGTGGAATGACATAACCCCACAACGAAGTAAAAATTAATGTTCCTTTTACCCTATAAAATAATCTTATAATTAAAGCTAAAATAGGTTATAACTGGATAGCCGAAGCAAACAACAGAAACCGATGGAGCAAATTCGAGGAGGACTTTACTCATAGAAGTCCTTAGTAAATAAATAAGACTATAGATAAATAATAATGATTAATATTACTTACGACAGGATTTCATGAATTCAGACTCTGGAATATTAAATAACGATTTTCTTTTCTTTGGAACCTCATAAACAGCTTCAGAATACAATGGAATCATGTTATTATCACTTTCATCACTTTCATTTTTCACCTCTTCATTTGGTGAAGTCTGAGGTGTAGGTATAAAAGCAGCATCTCTTGTTGACGAACTCTTCCTTGGTGGTGTTTGTATGGTATTGTATGAAGTATAAGGTTCTGTAATTTCTCTATATTCAGTGGTAGTTATCTGCAATAACAATAGTCTATATTATATACACATAGATACAATCATGCAAGATAAGTATATGACAAAATGATCAATTTCTTCCCAGTCTAAAACTTCTAAGATGGTTAAGAAAGTATATGTTTAAATACCGTCAGCTAATATATATGCCACAAAATGTGCCGAAGTACATATATGCGAACATCTGACAAATTTTGGAATCAGAGGAAATCGTAAGAAAATTGGAATTCGTATTATCAGTAATACTATTTTTTATCCTAAATATATAGGTTTCACTACTATTTGATAGTTGTTTGAACCGGAATGAAATGACAGATTTTTGTAAAACACTTGCAAGGTCGCTGTTCCTAAAGCCACCCACGGAATTGCAGCTGACTTTCACTAGGCTTCAGAATACAACTTTTTTAGCCAATTTAAAGTTTTCGAACGGGAAGAAACAAATGACGAAAAAAGCCCATGGCTCGAGTAATATAAATATAATTCTTTAAGTAGTATTATAAACATTCTAACAAACAACTACAATTAACATAAATATATCTTTAATAAAGTTTATTTTTAAAAATAATTTATAATATATTTATAAAAATACAATAAAAAATTACATTTTTCTATCTTTTAGAAAATATAAACAAATAAATATGCTCACCTCTGAACCAGAATAGTAATTATAATATCCAGGACTGTACCGCATCCGTTTAGCTGGAGGTAGTCTTACTCTGGGACGCTGTGGCGCCTCATCCTCTGTCGATGAGTCTGTGTCATCAGCTGTTGCTTTAGGACCATTTGCATTGGAACTACTAGGAGTACTACTAAACCACTTCGTTATGGTCTCAGGCAGTAAATGCGATACTGTTCTCTTTACTTTTTTGACGAAAGACTGAAATTATTACATAATAATTTTGAAGTACAGTTAATAATTTTAATTTTATTACACAGTAATTTTTTTACACAGAAACACAGGTAAAGAGAAAACTTAACTAATCCAAGAGGAAGAGTTGTCTTATATCAGGGTGTGATAAATTACGTCGTGAATGAATATGGGCTTGTCAAAAGTTGCGTTCAATGCGACGTGGACATTTCTGTGGACACCGAAACAGTCGAGAAAGTAAATATAAGTTAATACTATTTAAAGAAAATTTGTTTAGTCATTTTAGGTTGGAATCTTAATTAAAGTAGGCTCAACAAAAATGTCTCCGGTATATAAAAATAGAATCTGTAAGATTAACTCTTTCAGAAGTATCCAGTCTAAAAGCATTTGAATATTTTTTCCAAATATAAACAGAAGACGCAATTCAATGCATAGCTCTAAAGCTATTTTATTATAAATTCAAATTAGAACAGAAAACTAATGAAAAATGTTCTGTTTTGGTATACCATTACAACATGGTAAGTTCTAATAATAAATCATAATTACAGTATTAAATTAAAATAAGATGACGATCCCACTGCCGGGTTAATTCTCATGTCGGTTGTACATTAATCATGTTTGGTTTGATCTTCTTTATATAATTTCTTATATAAATAAATATACAGGAGTTAGTAGAGAGTATTCCAGCCAGTACTACTGTCTTACACACTAAACACTTTCAGTGTGACAAGAAACAATGCGCAATTAAAATAAATTGAAATATTTACTAAATTGATTATATGACCATGCAGTTTGTTTCAATTTTTTTAAAGTATTAAATTTTTTTACTCTTATACACCCAATAGTTATCATGAGATATTATTATAACCCATAATTTCACTGACATATTACACTACAGCATACAAAACTGCTTTTTAAGATTCAGCCTTCAGTATGAAAGAGGTCATATCTTAAAATCACTTTTATATTCATTTGTAACTAACTGGAGAAAATTTTCAATTCATATGAGATGATGAAACCAGACCGGATGTTTAATGTAAATGTACTGCATATCAATTTAAAATACACTAACAGTATTCATAAAGCTATATAATTTTCCAAAAGGTATCAAACTTAAAATATTCTTTTATGCAATACTTAAAAATTGTTTTCTATTTTTAGTACTACTTTCATATATATGTGATTGACATGTGATGCCATAATGCAAATATTTCATTATACTTAATATAAATTCAAACTGTATGACACATTAAAAATAATGTAAGAGTAACATCATTAATAATAGTTCATAGTTGTTTGCTTAGATGAAATTTAGAAAAATTGAATTGTTCCATTTGCAACAAAACCCACAATGGGAACTTTGTAGCTTTTAATTGAAGTATCATCAACAGTGTTCAGATGAAAAATAAAAAAATATTCATCTAATAATTAAAAACAATAATGATGCAGTCTACTTCCATGTAATTATACATATAATATACATAGGAAGAAAATTTATTTGATCTTGTAATAAAGTTCTTAAATAACCAGAGAATTAAATAGGTTGTTAATTCAACAGAATTCTTTTCATGTGTATGTTTGGAGGTGGTATGCATGTCACGAGTTGCTTGCAGCATATGTTATGTCATAACACTTAATACATATACTGAAATAGTGTCTCTATCCAATATTGTACATATAGTATTTGAATATTAGATATCTTTTGGTATATTGCATTATAGGATTGCATGATAAATAAAAAATATGATGAGGATGTTGCTGATGATGATGATGATGATGAATTTCAATTGCAGTCAAATGTTATATTTGAAAAATATAATAATTGTTGGGTTTCCAACCAAATGTTACCTCTTTAAAAATTAAATCTTTTTTTTTAAACTATTCTATTTTATGGATGCATACTTATTGCATGAATAATGAAAAAATGGCACAACCATATGTTAGTCAAGGCACCTGTGGAATATGTATAGTAAACGGCAAAACAGAGAGACAACATATGGTTATCACATCATTTCAAATTTTTTAGAAATCGAAACAGCAAGTATTTCCAAGATTGATAACGTGGATCACACCAAATCCCATTACTTACAATATTTTTCCATGCATTAGTGTAAAATAGGGATTTATAAATAAATAGGACTAGTATTTTAGGTAGGTATTTTGTCAGGTCCACCTACACAGAGTCTCCCCCTTGAATACTATCATGGTTAATTCCTCATGAATGTATGCTGATGTGTACACTATTCCATAGTCATCCATTAAAGAAAAGTGCTAACAATGTCTATACAATAACACATTACTATTACTTATATACTATAACAACTAATACACAACTGCAAAAAAAAAAATAGTGAAACAAATAACATTATAAAAAAGAAATATATACTACTGCAACTAATATACTACATCACTATTATAACTGACTACAATAACCATGCACCAGATTCAAGACAAGTACAGTAACAAAATAACTGCAGTAACTTTTGAGTAACTACAATCATTATGTCACTCACTACAGGGGACTGACTTAAAAGTCACTAAAATGTTTATATGACTACATTCACTACAGTAGTAATTACAAACATTTCAAAGTAGGTATACAGTACCTCAGTACACATTCTGTACTCATTACTTTGTACAGAGTACATACCACTTGCAACAGCTCCAACTGATAGAGTAGGCGAGTGTATCATTTCATTATGTAGAATAAAATACATACAGCTTTGAAAAAAAAAAGCATGAACACTAACAAAAACAGAAAAAAGTAGACATTCATAATGTATGATCCTCAGGTGAGGTACAGACCATTCGAATGAAAAATTCATGTTTCAAATGAAAGATCTAAAGATCAAAAATATTTTTTAAGCATCTTAAGATACATACAAGGATTCCTAATCTTATTAGTGTATATTTTAAAAATGTCTAATAGATGTGATAATATCATAGTAACGTCTAATGATAATTTCTATGACAAGCCAACACTTAAGGAGCTCATTTAGAGATTCATTTTAAGGTTACTTTTAATCTAATGTCATCATTTACTTTACTTTATTTTCACGAAGCGGTTGGGTTATATACTTCATTTTAATAGAACCTTCAGAAAATATAATTGTAGAAATAGTAATAACAAGAATAATTTATAGCTGCCAATTAAATTACAAGAAAGAAATACATATATTAAAACTATACTTAATTAAAGGCGGCAAAAGGACCCAGTACAGTGTATAGCAACAGGATGCTCCTATGTGGTACTTTGCTTTTATCTACAACAATACATTTATCAATCTGTTTCAGGTTCTTAACAGCATATATCACCACTTTTTGTAACAGTATTGATTTGTATCCATATTCTAATTGATCTTTGAAATATATTATGCAAAATGTACTTACAACATATAGTTGTAAGTCGCATAGGGATGTATGACAAAGATTATTAATATTGAATATATAAAAATCTTTAATTTATTATTAATTTAGTAAAATATATCAAAACAGTCTATTGATTTATTGCAATTATCAATACCTTTATATCTACCACTGTACTACTTACATCATTTATGTTTTCTGTATGTTCTAATGGAATGGAGTATACCTACGACCCTTTCGGGAAATAAATATCCTTTGAGAACATTCGTAATGGGTCACATGTGTTTAAACTTAAAATATATTGTATATATTTTCAAATAATTTATTCTACCTACATTGCTATATCCAAATTCTCCAATTCACAAAGTTGGCTTTAGATAATGATCCTCTAATTTCAACTCTGATAGGAATGGCTCATTGAGTGTTATAATTATTGTTAAAAATATTTAATTCTAATTAGGATGAAAAAGTGCAGCAGTTAAACCTATACAATTTTATACATTCAAATTCTTAAAATCTTCAGAGGCAGGTATACAAGTAATATAACACAATACCTAATGTTTTAATAAATGCAAATAACGTTAGGAACTTATACTTTATGAAGAAATGAACAAGAACCAAAAAGAAAATATTTTTTTAAATAAGAACAGCATGGACTAAAAATTATACCTTTCGTGCAAAGAAATACCCACGTGACCTATTATTTCAATTTCAAATGCAAAATACATTCTAATCTGTGCAATTATAAACAATAGCAAAGCTTCATTCAATGATAAAAATATATTTCTACGTGTGAGGTCACAACCACTAAAATGTAACGATATTCGTAGCAGAGAGCGGGAATTTAATAAAAACTTTACTTACATTGTCTGCTTCTTCAGATGTTTCAAATGATCGCTTTTTATTTCTTGAAGGTTGTTTACTCATTTTGAAAGCTGTCTCATATGATAATAATTTTACTAATGCAGTTCAGCAAATAGAGTTATAGTTAAATTTATTCATAATTGCCAAAAACGTGACAAAAATGGCGTCTACAGAATCTGTCACAAAACGCCTGGAGGGAGGTCTAACGATTTTTATACAGTAGTACCATTCACTTTAAAATCACAAGTATTATAGAGCGAAAAATTAAGAGTTGTTACAATGATATTAAATATTACAGAAAAGAACCGATCACGCTACAGAATGATTTGAGAAAACGATTAATTTGAATTTATGCTTTGAGATTTATGACAAAGAATCGGTTTAACTGGTTTTTCATTTTCAATACTCTTTTCTCTATGCTTCAATCAAATCGAACTATAGCCAAGGAACCACAGACTTTTTTTTTAATGCTGGAACAGGCAAAGAATTCAGATTGTACATCCGTATAATTCCGTAAATGTGTTAAATAGTAGACTTAATTGCTTAACATAATAGAATATGAATACAATACAAAATATTTATTTGTTAAATGTATCCATTGTATTCATGATTACGTTTAAGAGTTTAGAACTTGGAATATATATTTTTTTAAATGGTTGATTTAAATTAAATTGTAGGTAGATAGTATTCCGACTCTTAATTAAATTTTTTTGAAGTAATTAGTAAGTAAACGATTTTAGTTAAAGTATTAACAATAAAAATAATGGACCTAAAACAAAAAAAATACTGAATTCCTATACTTTGCCGTTTTAATGTGGCAAATGCATAAATGTGCCAAGCCATTTAAATAAAAAAAAAAAAAAGTATTTCCACCACAAAAAATATCTATTCTATAATTATACTCGTACTTAAACAATATAAAAATATATTAAAAACTTTCTGTGTACAAGATTTTACCCACGTGAAATTTATAGCCTATTTTATTCTGATGTATAAGCTATATTATTGTAAAGTTTCATTAGAATCCATTTAGTAGTTTTTGCGTTAAACAATAACAAACATCCATCCATCTACACTCCCAAACTTCCGCGTTTATAATTTTGGTAAATTTCCTTTACTTTACTCTTTGAAGAAGATACTACAGATCTGAAAGACTGTTTTGTATTAGTAGCGAATATTTTTTGTGAATATTATTAATAAAACACCATTGTACGCTTTGGTATACAGACTGCCATTTCAGTAAAATGTTGGGATATTCTAATGCCGGCATACCAGATAAATCGTGGCAACCACAGGTCGCCGTCATTGAAACAACGTAAGTTTGCTTATGTCGTTATTGTCAGAGCTTTTGGATTTGCATTATTGATAACTCGAATAATAAATACAAAATATTATTTTGATTGAATTGTTATTTTGTATGAACTTTAGTACTATTACATATATTGGTAGATATGTACATCTGTTATTTTACATTGATAAATATTAATTGAGTTGGAGTTGATGTAGTAATCTTCCATGAGTGGGGAATGGTTTTATTAGTAGTGGGGAATAATAACCCCATTGTTAGCTATGTACCATGTCAGGTTGACTCCATGCAGTTCCCCTGAAAACTACCATGTTAAATTACTACTAATACCATGTTCAATTTGGCACAATGGGCTAACTGACCTGACCTCATGTTACCTTCCACTTCTGTTGCACCAGCACAAGTGGAGGTTGATAAGACACCTAACTGTATATTAGTGCAATTGGGTGCAACATTCCATTATCATCCCTTAAAAAAACTACTTCCTTAAATTATGTTAATTGTTTTACAATTGTATTGTATATGACTTTTTAATGTTATTTTTTATATTTCAGAATGGGCACAATGATTGTAGAAATGTACTGGAAACATTCTCCATTCACATGCCGTAATTTTATGGAACTTGTTAGAAGGGGTTACTACAACAACACAAAATTTCATAGAGTTATAAGAGACTTCATGATCCAAGGTGGAGATCCAACAGGTACCGGAAAAGGTGGTCAGTCAATTTATGGGCCACAGTTTGATGATGAAATTACAGCAGATCTAAAACACACCGGTGCAGGCATACTTTCTATGGCGAATGCTGGTCCCCATACAAATGGATCTCAATTCTTTATTACATTAGCACCTACTCAATGGCTGGATGGAAAACATACAATATTTGGACGAGTACAAAGTGGAATGAGTGTCGTTAAAAGGATAGGCTTGTTAGAATGTGATAAAAATGATTGTCCTGTTGATGATATAAGAATTGAAAGAGCCTACATACCTAAATAGAAATATAATAAATAAAATCTTTAATATACCTACAAATGTTTTATTTATTTATGCTTATTATATCAAGACATAATAGTAAAAATGTACAAGGCAACTTTTCTTTTAACAAACACAGTTGATATATTATACAGTTGATAAAATAATTCATAACATATTGTAATTTAATTAAAAATAAAAAAAAAGTTAGTTATTAATAGAAATTGAAATGTCTATTTGTACATTAAAATATCAGCTTTTCACTTAAAGCATATGATGGATGAATGACATTTAGTACTTGCTTCCAAAAAATATTTTTAAATTTTTATGTTTATTCACCTAATGTCTGAAACGCCTGGGCTAATTTTGGACCCACTCGCAGATTGCTGTGTAATGTAATAAATTTAGAGTAAGTTAGTGTACTTTTGTTTAGGAAATTTTATTAAAAATTACTTATTTGTAATGTAAGCATAGTAAACCAGTATATCTACAAGTCATGGGCATCCCATTAAAACCAGTACATCAAGATTAAAGGTTACATTAATTTAGTGTTTCATGTATAATATCTGTATCATCCGCGACTGCATTGCATGCGCGATGCATTCTGTATAATTCGTTAACTAATTCTTGCCTACATTAGATGTGTATATGGAACAATAGCTCATTTTTAAATAATTCCCATAGTGTAAATATGGATTTATACTTTTAGATTACGTGATCATCTTCCATTTCCTTAGTATCTTTTTTTTATCTTTACACATGTACAAAACACATTGGTTAAAAAATACTAAAAATGGAAATGGTGGGAAAATTAAATACCCAAAGGGAAGAATACTAAATGTGAATATTTTTATAGCATAATAAAAATATTCACATTTAGTATTCTTCCCTTACCTTTCTACCTACAATTTTATTAATAATATAATAGATGATGATGCTATATTTATTGTTGTGTTTCCATTATCCATAAATATATATAACTATTTTCAGAGGTGCATGCAAACGAAGTCGCTACTCCTCTAGTACGATATGAACCATTTGACGGTTCCATTTAAAAAACCATTGATATTTTTTTTTATTAAGTGGTCCGTAAAATTGAGGAATATGCAATCTGTGTTACCATTATAATGTTCGCGAATACAACCATAAAATACCTGTCGTGTCATAAGTATTTCATAGTTATTTTCGCAAACATTGTAATGGTAATTCAAATCGCTTATGCAAAGTGCAGCTGCAAATCTATTGATTTTAAACTGTTCCAATAATAGGTATAGGTAGATATCTAGAGGAACAAAGGAAAAACCGAGCGAGATGAACTATTAGGGCACTACTGTATGAAAGACAGAGAGTCACTTCAAATTTTCCGTTGAGCTATACGAACCTATGCAGTATATTTTTACTTTTGTAATAAGAGAATGAATTGATGTACTTCTCAGTAAAATAATATTTTTGTTTACTAAATAATAGGCGTATAGGCCATTGGCAAAGTATATAGAACGTAATAGATATTTACTTATTTTTTTGTATATAAATATGTATACCTACATATATAATTAGGTACCTACATTTAGTACTGACATAAATTATGTAGAACGATTTTAGATAGATTTATATCCAATAAAGTTGTCATGGAGCCTAGATGTTGTTCTGTCTATCTGAAAGACCCGCCCATAAAAAATTCTTACATAAATTCTGATTTCTAGAAGAAATATATTCGTTTATAACAGCTTGGGTTTCAGAAATTCGTTTGCCGTCTTATAAATCTAAACATAAAGTAATTGTCTATCATATATATTATGTACCTACTAGCTGTTCCCACTACATCGACTATCTACAACTTTATTTTTTGAAATAAAATCATTTTTCTAAAATAAAAGTATAGATGTATTGATAATATGTCATAGCAGAGAATCTTACATCACTAAATCAATTATTAAACAAGAATTAATACAATTTAATTCAGTAATAAGTATTATTTATAATTTTTCTACTGCTTTCTAAATTGTCTAGAATTTTTTTTGTACCTACGTTAGATAGCTAGTAGTGGAATTCTATTACTTAATTTCTAAATAAAAATTTGGCAGTACAGAAATTCTTTAATTTCTACATAAATCATGCATTTGTTACGAGTTGGTCTTTAAAATATCGATATTTTTACCATTATGGCTACATATCTATTTGCGCCTACAAAGAAATGTAAGGAGTACTGCACGGATGAGAAAAGATGATTCTTTCACATATGCATCCAGTTTCGGTCTATAATAATGAATTGTCATGAGTTTTAGAAATATTGTTATATTCGTGGAATAAAATGTTGGTTGTTAAAGTTAAAAGTTAATAGGGGGCGCCACTGTGTTACGTTCTGAATTCAGCAGGGCCATTTTTCTCACACTACCATTTTGAAACAAATGTAGTGTAAAAAAATATTCTGATGAGACATTCAGTGCAGAACGCTCGTAAAGTGAACAAATAACCGCCAACAAACAATGTCAACGAAAAGTTTTGTTTTTGTTTTTTGTTAACTTTAATCAGTAGCGTAAAGAGAAAACACCTACAAAACTGGAACAATAATGATTAGTTTAAGCATTCATAAGATTGCTAACCTAGACAAGAGGGCGAAAGGGGATTGTTAGTAATGTGGATTAATAACTCCATTGCTAGGAATGTACCATGTCAGGTTCACCTTCAGTTCACCTTGGAAACCACCGAGTAATTCTTTTTTATACTACTATGGTGGCAAACAAGGATACGGCCCATATGGTAAATGATTACCGTAGCATATGGACGCCTTAAAATACGACGTAAATATGAGGTATGAAACTACCTATATGGCAGGTACGTCAGCAACAGCAAATATATTTTCACGTCATTCCATCCACTACGCCGTCCACCTCATTTGATACAATATTATGAATATCTTGAACCCAATAATGGAAAAAGTTTTTTGTTACATTTTATACGTTAAAATGTGTGGGTATCTAAAATAATGGGTAAATGTAGTTTTAATTAATAATACAACACTACATTCAATTCAAGTTAAATTATAAAAACGTAAATTTTTATACTAGTATTACCCCTATTCAATTAAGCTAACTATATCAGATGAAACTCAACGTATATAATTTTAATATTTTTTTTCATATCAGTTCATCGACATAAAATGTATCGATAATCAACAAAACAAATATCGATATTATTTGTCAACTTTAGTAGAAGGTCCAATCACTTGGCATTTTATAATAGAATTGTTTTCTGGTTCGAATTGCAATTGAAATATATTAAATATCGTTTTTAAGGTAACTGCTTTGTGAATTATTAATAAAGAATAAAGAATAATAGTTGAATGACCTAAATATTTTAAGTTACTAATGAAATAAGACACTTTGTTTGTATATGTTTTTTTTCTTCTGGCATTGGCGATTTGTGTTGCCATTAGCCATTTTCTACTTTTGTTTGTGTATGTTGTAAGCCAATATTGAGTGTTGTTTGTGAGATTGTAAAGGAAGTGACATTTACATTCTGGATTAGTTTATTTATATTTTACAGAAATTTAGCGATATCAGTGGTGCTGGGTTTGTTTTGTGGAGTAGTAGTGCATCTGAGCTATGGAATCTGATCGTCAACCGCAGCTCAGTCCAATTAGGGCTTTCCAAGGTACATATTTAGATTCAATTACGTATATGCAAATTGTATGACTTGGTGACCAAATTGATAATGGATGTATTGTCACGTACGCAGTACTACACGGGGCTAGTGTGGAGGGTGAGGAGTTAAACACAAGCCTCTCGGACTACCACGACTACGAGCCCAGGTTGGAGTTTGATGATCGTGAAGTCACAGAAAATCTATATCTTGGTGAGTTGTTGAAAACTACCTTAAACATTCTTGTCCACCTCCGACTTGGTATCAGCTAAGGTTGAGGGTATATGGAAAAAGAGTTCAGATTAGTGTAAATTTTTTTAATTCATTGTTACATACATCACATTGTTGATAATATGTAAATTCTACAAAACACAAATTATTCGTCAAGTAATAAATAAATGCCTTATTTTTTTAATCGAACTTTATGTTTATCATTGTTAGTGAGGAAGAAGAATGAAGTGTTCTTATGTAGTCATATTGTGTTTTTCATCCATGTATGGTACATGGAATATTACAAAATCATCTAAAATATATATGTGTATTTACATTTTCTATACCCAGGATGTGAAAGATTAGTTTATTAGAAATATTGAGGTGCCAATTTTAATATTAAAGAGAATGGCTGTACCATGTTGAGATTGAAAAGAAACTATTTTACTTTTACCCTCAAGATACAATTTTTAAATTTTAGATTATAAAACTATCAATTGTCATTCTACTAACCTAATCAATACATAACAAGAACAATGGCCACTTGTATATAAAAATTTTTTATCTTTTATATAATATCAAGACGAGTTAAATATCCTGATATTGATTTTTAGGTTGTAATAACTATTATGTATTAGGAAAAGTCATAGATGCCAATTAGCATATGACTAGAAGATATGTATATGAGAGTAGTAATTTAGAATTTTATACCATAAAAACCTATTGATATTGGATAAAGAAAGGGATTTAAGTTATTGTTTTAAGGGAGTAACAATTTCATATTATACAGCCATTAAGGGCCCATAAGCCTTGACATATGTAGGTATTTTGTCATGAGGATGATACTCATACTTATGATATTCATTCATTAACTGCCTAAAATAAGGGTAACTTGCCCTGTGATAGCCTCATTACAATTAGAGGAGCTTAAAAGTACTTTTAACTGAAAAGCAGTGACCATTCCCAGTAAAAAAAGGATATTTTCACACTACTTTTTTACAGGACACCATATGCCATTGGTTCTTGGCTATATCCTTATGTAACTCCATGCACATTCATAAGAAGTCTCATGGTCAGTCAGATATCGATTATACCTCAATAACTTCATACATTCCCTATCTGATCTTAAGATGCATCTTGATGTGTCAGTCTGGTACTTGCATTCTGCCTTGTTCATGTTCTCTACATTTGCATGATGAAAGACATATTAATATGTGTTTTTCATCTGATTCATCTTTTCTGCATATCCAAATTAACATGCCATGATCTTTTTCATGTATATAGCCTATACTTTCTTTATATAGAACTATTATAAAGAGTCTAGTGACTTGAAACACTTTATAGCCATCTGGAACAGACCAGTCATTAGGGATGTATGAAGGAAATGGGGTATCATGATAGAATATTGAAGGAAATTATATATTTACATGATTGCAATTACCATTGCAATCATTGCAATGGTATCAAATACTTAGCTATCATATTATGATTATTAGAGATGAAATTTCAAGAATTAATTCAGGTATTTAGTATATGTATCAGTAATTTAGAATATGTGGCCAGATATTATATCAACTTGTTAGGACAAAGAGAGGTTATGCATGTCAACAATGAATGAAAACAATGAAATATTATTTCAGTGATGACTACTGAATGTGTCTTATCACATTTTTTAATGCTTTCTAAAATATACAGATTCTACCATGTGCCAGGACAGAAGATGATGAGTGTACAATAAACATAGGACAATGCAAAGAAAACAAATGTTGCAAACATTTATACAGTAACACAGTGTAACTTGTTAAGAGAAAAAAAAAGATTATTTTCTTTTGTTTTTAATATGATATGTATATTATCTAACTATAGTATAAGTGTATAAAAAAATGTGTTAACTGGTACTTCTTGCTTGTCTTCATATGTGTTATTATAATGTTTTATTGTTAAAAACAAAGGTTTTTGGAGTATAATACATATTTGTTAAAGTTAGTTTAGTTTTCCTATAAAATACTTCATTGTATATGAAGTTGCAATATAATATCTCCTATATTTTGTAGTAATAGATTAAATTTAAGATGATCTGTCTTCTTTCAAATGATTGTAAAGGAAATGTATTATTGTAAATTGTAATATATCTAATTGATAGTAGATTGTAGCTAACTCAAACTATTAGTATTATCATAATACTCATAAAAAGACATTTGCTGATTACTTATTTATAAAATAATTTTGCCTATAATAGAACCATTCAATTACCCATTCTTTCGTTATTTCCCTGAAACCTTATATGAAAATGTTTAATATTTTAGCTCCATTACCACCTGAATTGCTAGATTTAACAGGCGACATTATAAAACGTTCGGCGAGCGATGGAACCATAGAGGAAAATTTTGAAGCAGAACTAGCTAGTGGGCTGGAAGTCTATGCTGAGGTAGGTACATATGAAAATAAGTAGTAATAATCAAGAGTAGTCTTGTTCTTTATTTATGATATCATAAAAAATATGGAAGTTAAACTAAGAATAGACATGACAGAGTCAATTCAGAAAAAAATGCATTGGAACAATGGATGCTTCAGTGCTTATCAAATAAAAATATGTTACTGTCTGTTTTATCAGTATGCGAGGTCTCATGGGGCAGCCATATCTCCATCTTGCTTTTTGATATTGTTAATTTTGTAATTAGATAACAAATCAATAATTCTTTAAACCATGTTTATGTTTTCTTTAATATTCATTCCCTTTTAGACAATTTTGGTTTATTTTACTGAGTTTTGCATATTTCTTTCTATTACCTTTAAAACAATATATTAAATACAGATAATAGATAACTAATGTATATAGGAGTAGATGTTTTCCTGGTAGTGTTCGATTCCTATTCAAATAGCATATGATTTATCTAATAATATATTATTTACACAACGCCATCTAGTCCCAAGCAAAGTAGAGCTTGTGTTGTGGATGAGAACTGAGAGAACTCAGATAAATACGTAGATATTTTTTTTGTAAATAAATACATATTATACATAGATAACACCCAGACTGATACAAACGATCTTATTCATGAATACAAATGTTTGTAACGTTCGAGAAATCGAACCCTCGCCAATTGGATGGTAAAGCGGTATGCTGCACCACTACACCGAGGCTGTAATGGCCAGTTCTTCTGCAATGTCTATATTTTTAAGATTATGGTAATTATAATGTATTGTCATTTAAAAGAATTTTATCCATATCCATCTAAATACAAACCATGCCCGGCATGAAGCCATGGCCACGAACCATACTATTCATATTTGTAGGTTACTAACTATGTTTTATTAATATAACATTCAATACATCATTAACAACTACTTCCACCATTACACATGTAAAATATATAGTAGGTGTAAGTTCTATGGAAATTTTAAATGTGTGTATAATTAAACAGTAGTAACAGTATATCCTGAAATAATAAAACCACAAAGTTGATATTTTAAAAGGAAAGTCTGAAGCAATTTATATAGATTAATTGAAGCAGTAGCTTCAATAGGTATCCTATACTGCAATGATGGTAAACATGGATATGTATTGTCTGAATAGTGAATATATTGTTTTAAAAATAATCAAAAGTATATTTTATTATTTTATCAAGGTTTTAAACAAAGGCACAATCTACACACACACACTTTTTGCATACATTGTCTCAGTTTTAAGGACTGTGTTACTATTACAATTTGCCAAGAAAATGTGATATGTGTTAAAAAAAATATATGTTCCAACGGTTCTAGACATTTCGTTCTATATAAAAAACAACAAAACATAAATTCAATAATATTAAATGTACACTAATGAAGTCAAACGTCATACCTAAATCCACTAAATATATATAGAAATTACAGTGAAGTGATAACGATGATAACAAGCCATGTCCGTGATTTTATTATCTTACCTGACTGATGACCTCGTATACTCTATACAGATGACCTGGTATAGAGTATACCAGGTCATAGTACAATTACTATTTACATACATAGATTACTTACATCATGAATTGAATTATTTTGGTTTTTTTAATGGATTAAACGAAATAGCCCCCTCCCTCTCCCTTGTGCTAACGGTGTACGTTGGTGGGGTACCAGTGGATGGTGATAGGATGAACATAAAGTCAAGTGATTTAGCACATTGAGCCGAATTTACCAGGAATTTATCACGACTGTTTCTAGGGTTACTGTGTGGACATGGTAAGTCAATCTGACATGGTACGTTGCTAGGTATCCTTTCCCCTTTCACCCTATGGTTTTTAATGAATTAAATCAATTATTTAAATAATTTTCTTAAACAGATATCGTCTTCGTCTCTGGATGACGACAGCTTCGCCGAATTGAACAGCTCAGGGTTAGTGGAAGTTGTGGGTGATGATGAAATTGGACGTCGTATTATCGTAGTATCGGCCTGTAGACTGCCGCCCAGGGAGTCCTTACACCAAGACAAACTGTTAAGGTCAGTAATGTATTGTATTCACAAGTCCGTAAGCAGTTTTTTCTAGTTGGAGTAGTAAGTGTAAACCTAATTTAATAACTATAGCTGCCTTTACACGTATGCTCTTACACGCGCGAACAGCCTCTCACGCAGGAAATAATGTGAATGTAAATGTAGACAAAGAGACGCGTTCGAGCAAGCTCGCTTATTGCTGCGTTCTTTAATCATACGTGCTTTAGCGCCTTTTTTTTGAATAATTAATTGTCACTACAAAATGGCATACATACATCTGACTATAGAGTAAAAACATTTATTGATAATTAAACAGTGAATTTTGTGTAGTGAAGAAAACAGTGAAATTAAAAAAGTTATTGATAATTTATAAATCTTTAACGTGTCTTTTGAAAATAAAATTTTATAAGATGTGTGTATTGTGACGTGTATTGTCATGAATCATACGCGTAAATAGGCGCAAAAGAGTGAACCAAAATAATAATTATATGCAATCCCTCGAGATTGCGCGTGCTGGTTTTCGTGCGTCTAAATCCTGCGCGCTCATGTTCCCACGAAAGAATGCGTCGTGTAAAGGCTAGCTAGTACACATCTGTATCATGGCGCAATGTGCTAATTGATGTTTGCATACCCACTCGTTTGACATCTAAGTCCTCGAGTTTGGCAACGCATGAGTGATATCACAGGTGTCACATAATAATGCCATATCCATAGTGTTGTTCATGTATATAGGCGACGGTTACCGCTTATCACGCTGTATGACGCGTTTATGCAGCACGAATGCTCCCGGTATACCGGGATATATCACACCTTTTCAGAATACCGGCGTTGAGTGTTATCACGTTTCACATGGTGAGTCAAGTTCTGGACGACGAACCCCCCGTCCCTTATATCTGTACTAATTCCTTACCCTACTCATACGTTCTTAAAAGGCCGGAACTCACCTGCAATTCACCTTGGTGCACCTGATGCTTATGGGGCATATATCACTTACCGTCAGGTATACCAAAATTAATTTGCTCTCTATGCTATTAAAAAAAATATTGAGGATGTGGTGACGTATTGTTTTATAACGTAAGTGTTTTTTTTGTGACTAACTCAATTAATTATACGACATTCAATGGTTTTGTGACTCACTCAACTGATTAGACTAATTTACATCATAAAGACATTGAAATATCACCATATCTGTCAAAAAGTATACTATGTACAGCAACATCGATTTTACGTTTAGATTTATTAATGGGGGCCATATGGCGCTTGTGTGTTTCTTTACTTTTAAACAAACAGTCAGAGCGTTGAATGGTAACCTATGTTTTAATAACAGTTCAACTTGTAATATATTTTGAAGTAGATTTATGTTTCACGAGTATATCATCTGGTGTGTATTCAATATTACAGGAATGTAATCGATAAGCCTTGTTATTTTGGGCTTTGTGTGTCATTCAGTTAATAACATATCATGATTTGAGTTACATTATATATATTATATATATATTTCCACTTCGAACTGTTACTGCGTACAAAGAGATTTATCGTGTTTCGTAATTAATCGTCACATTATAATAAAGACAATTAATGGATAACGTAATTATACTATGTATTATCAATAAAACAATGTTATAATTGAATAATAAAAAGTGCATGCATGGGAACAAATAGAATTATGAAATTATCAAAATTATTTTCCCAACTATGTATACATGTATAACCAAATTTACGTACAACATAAATAAACTTGCGCAACATGTCATCGGGGGATGGACTAGTGGCCCCAACTACCACCTGAATGACATGTCAGGTCGACCTTCACGTGGTTATTCCTGGAAACCATCCGGGTTAATTCTTGGTGAATTTGTTACTACGGGCTAACTGACCTGACCTGTTCATCTTATCTTGACCCACTAGTGCCGCGCCGGCGTAAACCGGTAGCGCTGGTGGATCGATTATTCTATTATCATCTATTAAAACAAAATAGAAACTTTCCGTGCTATTAAGATAATAAAATTGCTCTAGTTTTAGGTCTATTTGAGTATTGCCTGAAAAGAATTGTCTAACTTTCAAATATTTGATATATACATAATATTTAATCAGATTTTTTTAATGGCTTATATTTTTTATAACTATAGTTCTAATCTAATATGCATGATGTAGTAGGTATACTAAACTATCTGATTAGTACTTTTGAACAACAGTCTTATTATTTTTATTAAAAAAATGTACGTATTCCAATTTAATTAAAGCTTAGCGTAGGTCGTATATAATAATCTTTTACGCGTGTATACGAAGTTGTAGCTACTATGGGTTTTTGATCCAGACTAACAATCTATTTGACTCATTGCAATTATCAGTCAATCTGTACATAAAATCGTGATACATTGGACATGAATCTTGATATTTCGCGGAACTAATTAGATATTGATATGCTTAATATATTATTGTACAACAAGTTTACACGTTTTGTATTCAAGCCGTTGTATTGATTCAAATAAATAATATTAGAATATCTTATTGAAGAGTATGAAAGAATTTGTACAACATTTCTAAGTATTTGTTAAAGAAAATATGTAAATTTATTTAGTTATTACAGATATTAAAATAAAGCTAAACTAGCCACTTCATTCCTTATTTTTGCAAATATAATGAAAAACTAATAAGAAATTTTAGATGAAGCATAACACCATACTGAAAAATTAAACCAAATTGTCCAATTTGGGTTAAATTTTGAGTATGGTGTCCAACATCCAAGGAATGAAATAATTAATGACTTGTATAATTTTGAATTATTTTACTTGTGGCTTTAAAACGTTATTAAATCCTATAAAATATAAATTGGCTGTTATTTTTAAACTACAATAGGAAAACGTGTGTGTGTGTGTGTATTTAATGTAAAATATTTAATAGTAATTATAAGGCCAGAGCATTATACCTTCAACATTTGTATATGAAATTTATTACATTGTTGAGTAATTAGTAGTAGGTGTTATCAAGTAACTCTCACTATACCTGACAAACTTGCTACGAAGTTAAAGAAAATTAATTTATTATGTTATTGTCATATACCACAAATTTGAAATTATTTTGTTAATAAATCAAATTCCTAGTGACAATAACACTGTTTAACCAAAGCATACAGACGGTTTCAAGACTCAACTGACAATATGTAATCCGGAACCACTTGTTGACGGACACTAAATGTTGCCTCTCTAATTCCTAGCTCTCCATATAATTTGGGTGATTTATCTGGGGTTTTGCGCAATTGTGTTCATAACGCCGTGTACTGACAAAGTTCCACTATTTATTAGTTAGCTATACCCGCGATTTCAGACGCATGGTTTTAGGAATTAGTGATAATGTAATTTAACTTGACTTTGTTGCGTCCGTATTAGAATAAAACCAATAATAAATGTAACGGAAAGCATGCTACAGTACTAATAAAACTGCATTCACCTTAGTGATAAACAGTAATGCTGTGCCAAACTAACAAAATTCAAAAACTATTTTGTTGCGTAGGTAACGTAAAATTGTACATGTTGGTAACATCTAAGGTACGGATCATATTCGTACCTTAGAAGGTATATTACGTAATAAAATCGTAAATGATATGTATTAGTATCATTTACGATTTTATTATATGTATGACTCTATAAATAAAAATAATGGTAGCATGTTTTATTTGCCTGTTCTAGGTACTTAATGTTCACACTTGATAAATACGTAGAACAAGATTATAGCCTTGTCTACCTACATTGTGGCCTCAATAGCAGCAGTAAACCACCCCTGTCTTGGCTCTGGAAGGCATACAAGGCATTCGACAGAAAATATAAGAAAAATTTGAAAGCGTTATATTTAGTACACCCCACAAATTTTATAAGAGTTGTGTGGCAAATGTTAAGGCCGGCTATAAGCGTAAAGTTTGGCAGAAAAATGATGTACGTCAATTATTTGCATGAACTACAACAATATTTGAATTTGGACAAACTTTGCATACCTGAACAAGTTCTGGAGTGAGTATTTAAATTTATTTTCATTTTGACAATTGACTCTAATAAAAATTATTTTACTTTGAATTCACATTAATACAATAACATTATTAATTCAATCAATCAAACCAAAATATGTTGTTTATACGTCTAGATATATTATAGACTCTTGTGTTAAGTCAAATTAACGTCAGTTCGGAGTGCTTTCGCGCTATAACTGACAAGCAGCTTAGCTCTTATTCTATTGAATTGACGGCCCCGGTGGTCTTGCGGTATTAGCACACCGCTTTACTCTTGAAGGTCACGGGTTCGAGTCCTCGCACGGTACAAACATTTGTATTCCTGAGTATGATTGTTTGTATCGATCTGGATGTTTTATATATATACTATGTATAAAAAATGTCTAAGTATTTATATAAGTTGTCTAGTACCCATAAGAAGCTCTGCTTACTTTGCTACTAGATGGCGTTGTGTGAATTGTCCAGGAGAAAACAAAATTATCTTATACGTGATTACAAAAGTCCAAATTAATTTATAAGTTAAATTAGGGCGAATTTAGTGAATATCAGCATATGCTATTGCATTGTTATCAATAGGAAATAATTTACCCCGGAACCGTATCTCGAACAGACACAACTCAACTATGTAAGATGTAATGTAAAGTCTCACAATGTTATACGGCAACCGTCTATTTATTGAAGTTGTACAATTATATATATATTGTATATTTTAATTGTATTCTATTTCTATAACAATATATAAGTTGACTACATTAAAGTACAACTTACTGAGTCCTATTGAAAATGCTAAATCATTCACTTAAACATACAAAATTAATTATAACGATAGAGTACCTTACACGGTGAGACATATGATACACATGGACAGAAAAAATGTACATATACTTTTGTAATTATAACAGTTTATTCCATTTATAATATGTATATTATATGTATTATAGAGTGTTCTTTACACATTCTATATTATATTGCACATTTATGGCAATTTGCTTGAAAATATTATATCACGATATTTAGATGCTGTTTCAAACGTCATATCACATATCTGGAGATCACAGATATTATGGTAAATAACAAGTTTATTTGAATTTATATTGGCAAACAAGCTAATATAAATGGACTACCTGATGGTAAGTTGTAATCGTCTCCTGTATAATATGAACAGCACTACGACATCACGATATCATGTGACGCCCGTGATAACACATGCGTTGCATTCCGGAGTACTAAGATGTTAGGCATCTTATTCTGTAATTTCTGCTGCTTATCTCATTTCATTCTCATACACCAAGAACAGACTTAGATCGTTTACACAATATTATCTGTGATTCGCGACATCCACTGTTTTTTTTAAACAGGTACTCATCCCCTCTCGTTTCATTCATTTGTGATCTATTGATGTTTAGTTGTGAAATGGTAACAAACTGGTAGACTCAGCACTTTCGCATTTATAGTGTTAGTATCGATGGATGTATTATAATATATACAACTGTGAAAAAAGTTTAAAACAGTGTTTAGTATTATTATATCGATGTTATCATTTAATAGGTATGACAAATTGCTTCTGTCGAAGAACCCAAAGGCGGCAGAGATTGCACGACTTCAATCACAGCCAAAAGAGCCAAAACCAACATCAACGGACCGGAGTGACGCGAAGTCCGCGCCTAAATCTAGCCTTTCGCCGCCCCCTACCCAACAGTTCGGCGTTTCGCTGCAGTTCGTCAAGGAGAACAATGCTGATATGGTGGACTCAATTCCACCTGTGGTCAGGCAGTGCGTCGAGTTCTTGTCACAACCTGATGGTGAGAACCTATTTGAGAAATGTTATAAGTATGCAGATTGTAAATAGTTTCTTTTTGATAGATGGCTATGGAATGATGAATATTAGGGGAGGATGATATGATGAGTCAAGTCAGTTAGCGAGTTATTGACGAATTCGCAGGAATTTGACCACGATGGATTCAAGAGCAGTGGCGTGGAGTCAATTTTATAAGATACATTATTACCAATGGGGTACTAGTCCCCATTACTAATAAATCTCTTCATTGTCCACTTAAGGCAGTCGTAAAGACGAGGAAGCCAAAATCTAAGCGGAATTCTCATGAAAAAAAAAACTATTCATTCACAAATGCCATGCAAAGAATTAAGGTTAGTCCCAGCATTGGCTATGTACAGATTGTACAGTATTGTACAGCCTTTGTCTACTCCACTGACAGAAGTTGGCGGGCCGGGCATGACGATATGCATATATCTGATATTGTAAACAATTTTGGTATTTTTTTTGTATACAGTTGTTCTACTTGTCTGTACATTTTAAAGTAACTCCGTTTATGTTTAATTATATTATTACTCTTCGTATGTATATATAATCCTGTACTGACAAATCACAGTACAAAACGCTACCTAGAGTATTGACCACTTATTGAGGAAGTGTAGTGAACCCAAGCTCATGGATAAATTTTCCTTGTGGCAATTCGATTAATAATTATACTAAAGTAACACAACATTGTTACAGGTTTGGAAACTGAGGGAATATTTCGTCGTTCAGCCAATATACTGGTTATTAAAGAACTACAGCGCGCCTGCAATAAAGGCGAGAAGATATCGTTCAGGAACGATCCACACAACGCGGCTGTTTTATTGAAGACGTTCTTTAGGGACTTGGAGGAGCCCCTTATGACCTTTGAACTGTACAACGAGATATTGAAATTCCAGAGTGCGTATTTTTAGTAATAGGGTAATAGGGTTAGGATTTTATTAAATTCATCACATAAAAATTTTACTAACAATACCCTCCGATTGAACCCCCGTCCAATTCAAACAGGGATCGAAATTACGACGGCCTAAGCCGAAGTTCGACACCCGACACCCTAACGTTGCCCTCAGACTAAAGTCGTATCCGTCAGACGGGAGCTCCATAAATCCTTCCTTTAGTTTGGAGTGCCATCTGCACTGCCCCCTATCGGCATTATACATTTCATAATACTTATTCAAATTCCTTAATTCTTAATTTTTTTAAACAGTCTTTGTCACTTTTACTTCGTATTAAAATAACAGTAAGTGTTGAAAATAATTCAAGAATAAATAATTTAAGTCACTAATTTATATACCTCTCACTTATCTCTATGTATGCAATCATGAAGGCAATGATGATGACGTGTATTTAAAGTATGTAATCTGTTTGAACAAGTCTACGCCATCTACGGCGTAATAAGCTGTAGCATCATTAGATTTGTTATTGTTCACAAGTGTACAATATGAGTAATTGTTATTTCAGTATACATACCTTACTGGTATGCCTATCTTAATAAACATTTACACTTTGGAATATTTAATAGGTTTTTTACCATAAACAAAAAGGACTCGTTATAAATGGTCACTAGTGAAGCTATGTTACACATAATTAAGCAAATTTACTTAGACATTATGTACAATAGTAATAATTTTAAAGGAGCCCTTGGAGCTTTAATGATAGGTTTTCTTTGAAACCATGTTTTTCACACAGTAATGATAAATATATTTGTATATATGTATACATGAACGGGTTACATTTAGAAGAAATTCTAATCGCCGTTTTACTCTTCTGAAGAAAAAAAAATTAAGATTATAAGTACTTAATAAGAAATTTAATTATAATATAATATATATATTAATAAGAACGCCATCGTTTCACGGTATCGTTTGCTAATATATATGACTAATTTGTGTCACATTATAAATATTTTCATAATTTTACAATGAGTTACTACCCAGGAAGTGGTTGTCTACTCATGAGAATGGTTGATGTGATGACGATGTTATTACGTGATTTATTTGTTAAAGCTGAACGGATGATTTACTATTATATCAATCGTAAGGTTTCCTCGTCGGTTGGTTATGTATTATTTTAGTCACAAGAGCAGTATAATATAACTATTGTGTGCAAAATGAACATATACATACTTTATTAATACAGTTAACCGGATCATAATACTGCGCTAACTGTCACTTCAATTCGTGACCACGGCTAGTGCAACCTAGTTTTTAATGGTTGATAATGGAATAGTGCACCCGCCTGTGCTAACGATTTAAGCTGACTGGGCACCAGTGGAGCGTGAGGTCAGGTCAGTTAGCCCATCGTGACAAATTCACCAAGTATTTATCACGATGGTTTCCAGGAAGAACCGCGTGGAGGTCTACCTGACTGGTACATTGCTAACAATGGGGTCATCAGTCCACATTACTAACAATCCCCTTCCCTCCAAAGTGCAATCTAGTCGAAACGTCGAATGAGGTCAAATAAGGTATTCCATAAAATATTCATCGATTTCCATAAAATTATTCAATTGTTGTTTTCGAACTACGAACTATTCTAATTCTGTTGGGCCAAGCTGGTCTTTACAGCTTCACTGAACGAAAATGGAAGTGTAGAAGTCACTCCTAACACTTGTGGAGCGGTTGAAAGTAAACACCTGACGGATAAGACTACAGTCATAGAGTCAGAGCACTGCAGTGTCTCCTCTTCTAAAGCACAAATCTTTCCCTGTTTAAAACTAGTCATTTCAAGACCTTATTAACCATACTTATGAAGAGTCATCAATAAGTTACGTCACTTGTTAAAGGGTAGAGGGAGCTGTAAAATTCGTGTATAAAGTTCTGAAATGTAGTAATACCTACTCCCCACACTCATGGGAGATGGTTCTTATCTTTTGTGACATCACAATCAATGTACGTATTAAAATACGAATATTATTATAATATGGCGAACTTAGACGCGACTTAGACCAACATAGTGTATGTATGGATTTGTTTTCTTGTTTAATCGTAGCACTGTTTGCAATTAAACATTTTATAATTTCAGCCTGGTCCAATAGCGAGAAGCCAAGGCGGGTGAAAATTTTGATTCTGGAGATGCTGCCCTTAGATAACTACAAGCTGTTGAAGTACATTATGCAGTTCTTGTGGAAGGTATACTAACAATTTACTTGTAATCGTATATATTATTATTTATAGTATTTTACGACAGATATAACATTTATGTATATATAAACTATAGGGTTACTATTATACCAAACACATGTTTCAGTCGCCTACCAGCAACCTTCTTTTGTAAGCTGTGTTGCGGTTGTAGGGTTAGATTAAGCAGTGCAATTACAAGAGGCATAACATTTTAGACCTCTTACTGACAATAGCATATATGTAAATACAAGTGGTACGCACAGGTGTCACATAATAACGACATGTTCGTTCGTGTCGTGGCTGTTCATGTATATTGGTGACGTTTGCCATTTACCATCAGGCAGCATTATTTGTTTGGTTTGCCATTCAAATTACGTAAACAAGATGTATTTGTTTATTTCAAATATCATATAGATAAAGTACTACATTGATGCATACCCCATAGTGATATGCTGCGCATACTGAATAACCTCAAATTATAAAAAATCTGATTTCACACTAATATTGATGACATGATTCATACATTTTTAGTCTTTAAAATAATTGACATTCTCTGACACATACGCGCGAAACAGACGTAAATAACTCATTTTATTATAGGTGCAAGACAGAAGTTGCTTGAACAAGATGACCAGCAGCAATCTCGCTGTTGTTTTCGGGCCAAACTTGGCCTGGCCGCCCAATGGACAGATGTCTTTACAGGCCATCGCTCCTATCAACGCGTTCACCGATTTCGTCCTAAGGAATCAAGAGTCCATTTTTATTATTTGAACGCAAATATCCGCGGACGCACGTCTTCTAACAATCAAACCCTCTCCCGACCAACCTCAAACAAGTAGGGCGAGTCGTGGAACAAGAGGTGATAAAGAGAAAAAACCTCGCCACTGTTTCTGTGTATAAATACAGGTAATATCTCTCCGTTGTGAATTTCTAATTGTACCTGATGTGCTTTGAGTATTATTAAAGTGATACTACTATGAGCTGAATGCCATTTAATGCATATAATAAATAATTTAACCAGTATAATATATTACTATTAATTTATATTTTTTATTTAATGTTATGAAATGTACGTTTACGCAGTGATGTAATATGAAACTATATGATCTGAGATACAAGAAAAATTCACCGGATCGGTCCCTCGCTTCATCTAAAAAGATAAATTTAATTAAACACATTAAAGAAATTCTCTAATAATTCGGATACGGCCTAACGGCCTACGGATTCTTCAAGCAACAGGTCCTTCGTGTTTTATAGTATTGTTACCTCACTATGTTTACGTACATTGAATACAAATTGTATTTAATGGTGTTCATAATCTATACATATTTTTATGCGTTATTGCGTTATTGTTTATGCATGTGTACTCCATACAATGAAGAAGTAGTACCTTAAGAGGATACATCATATCAAATTCTCTATAAGTTTTAAACAGTGTCCTACTATAAAAGTTTCACTAATTGTATCTCTCGTCCATTAAGAGGTCAATACATGCTTGTTTTCGCAGGAAGAAATATAAGCCTTACGTTGTTAAAGTAGGAGTGAATTATAAGCTTCTTGAATATATAAATCAATTTATAAGCAAGCATGACTTGACCCTCGGTTATTGTAATGGGTTTGTAAATATTTAGTCTAAGTAGTGGTGATGATTAATCTTTATTGGAAAGTGATATCTAATTTATTATCGTGATATAGAAATAAAGATACTTCTTTAAAAAAGTCGACTTAGCTCGTCACATCACACTTAGAACACATGCGTTTGACACACAGATAGACCATAATTTTTGAATGTTTGGGGGAGCTATATGCTAGTTTTTTCCTACAGACTCTGAATTGTAAGCATCACAATAATTTACATATGATTATTATGGTATTTTTTTTAATTGCCACCAGATTATAGTTTATACTCTTCGAACACTTTTATAAACCACTGTACATCACATATTTATATTTATTATATTAATTAAGATACTGTCATCCTATTGTTGCATAGTGGTGTCAATAATTTCAATAGTACACCGACATTAATTGGCTACGATACGGACTAAAGGACATAAAATATTATATATTACAGTTATTATAAAAAATATAGAAGACACTAAGGAGAATTTTCTTTAGTATACTTAACTTGGTTAAAATACTTTAAACTAACTTCTAGATGTTTGCGGTACAGTTCGTTGAGATGCGGTTATATATTTCTGTGATCTTCAAAAAATACTGTAATACCCTATTTCATTTAAACCGAACCCAAATGCACCTATTTCTTTAAACTTGTCCAGAGACTGAGACTTCCAGTGTGTACAACTTTTAAGCAAATCCGAATTTAATTTTCATGATAAATATTATTTGGATAAGGCATTGAATTGAAGATATTGTCTTGAATGTATTGAGGGTATTGTATAATTTAAGAGATATAGAAACAAACAAGCGGATATTAATTTCAATTATAATTATTTTTGTTTAAGGTAATCCGAATTTAATAGTAATAATTCAAATGCCTATATACATATATATATTTATGACGAGTTTTGTAGACATTATTTAATTTTTTAATGGTGGTCAATGGTCTAAAGCACACTCAAGCTCTCAAAAAAGAAAACAGTTTTCGGTGTCACCGTTATTTATTTGCAACTCCTACCTGCTATGTGTAATTTCGTTCGTATCGTAGCTTCTTACGATAATATAATACGAGAAACGATCGGTTCCTATACAAACATGTTTCTTCCCTCTTTAAACTAATATTATACGTAACCTTATTTGTATAACAATATTTATTAAATTAATTCATTTTAATGGATTATACTTCGAAACGCAACGTGGCTTCCGCATTTGTCGTAATGATGGAATTATATTTGAATTAAAATAAACACATATCTATTAGAAAAAATGCCAGATGAAAATATAATGGCATTTTCTTGTTATAGATGTAATTTAAAAAAAAAAAACAATACCTTCTGAAATATTTTTCTGAATACGTAGTGGGATTGTAATTTAAAGTGGTACCACATTTACGTAGATTATAATATATTTATATTCGGATAAAAGCTATTAAATTGAAGTATAAAAATACTAATATCAGATATACACCCATTATTATTGTTCATCTTAAACAAATGTTTGATCATATTGGAGCTGTAACATTGGCCATATTTTTCAATTATTTTAATGCAATGAATGAGAAAAATTATCATGGTAATGTATTGAGTACTTTTTTAAAATTATAATAACATTAGAGATCTGCCATCTCTCGTATAAATTAGAAGCGCATTCCATAGAAGAATATTGAACTAAAACTGGTAGTTAGGGTACACTTTGGGAATTAGTATAAAGTAATAATGAGAAATACCTGTAATTTTTAGGGCGTTTCGTAATAATTAACTTCCGAACTGAATTTCTTGATAATAAATAGCGTTAAAAAATAATTAAACCGTTAGTCGAGTACGACGACAGTAAAAACATAAAATACATCGATACATATTCAAAGTGTAGATCACTTTTTTAAATTTGACGATAAATTAGTAGTCGGTTAAATATAAATATGACCGTCGATCTTTCATCATTATCCTAAGAACATGCACTACTTCTGTTTTCCTTGAATGTGTTGTAATATGCCATAAACAGTTATGTTGTTGTGTCAAATAACTATTTACAGATCTAAATGTGGCCTATAACTGTAAATTATCTACTATATTTTAAGAAATAATCCAAAGGAAAATCTAATTTTTTCAATTTAATTAAATTAGGTATAAATAAAACATATGCACAAGCATTTGTGATAGGTTGAAGTGGTTATATCCGTATAATCAACATATTGCTATCTATTGTACTGAATATTACCCGATCAGTTTCATTCTGACTCTTTTCAACTGTAGTTAGCCGATCTGGGTGGTAGGGTACTTTGTAATGAATAAAAAAAATTGTAGTCCATAAGTTGCAGAATTTCTCCTATACTGGATAAATTATTTTGTCTTTGTATAAATTATAAAAATGTATATGCCAATGAATATGTAGCATTTAACAGTACTCAATTTATAATGTTGTTGCCAATATACTATTTTTAGAGTGTTTTAAGGCTATTGTGCTTGAACTAAAGGAAAAATGTTTCTGTCCAGTGTTCAACTGGTAATACGCTATTAATAAATATCTAACCTCGGTCTAATTGTATATACAAGTTAAAATTATTAAAGTATATATTCTTATTGAACTTCTAATATCAGAGTTCATTGTACTTTGTTTATATACCTTTCTAGTTAAATAAAATCGTATAGGACTTGAAGATGTATTAGGTTTTTCTGTTGTGACACCATTTGAAATGAATTGCGAAATTATTGTATATTAAGATCAAAGATGAATGTAAGTAATAAGCATAGGAGTGAAGTTGAACTTCCTATTATGAATAATTTAATAATGATGATGTTCTAAATATATGTATAGATAATGGATCATTATATAAATAGTATTTAATTTTAATATATATATATATTAATTTAGTATAAATCGCAGTAATGCGGGGGTAATTTACTATGACATGGTAAGCATGTATACCAAAAATAACAATAGTTGTATATTTGTAATAGTATTATTAACATTGCCAAGGCAAAAGTTTAGAATGTTAGATTTATTGATATTTAGTGGAATGTATTTAATGTTTCAGTAATTATGGAATGAATACACTGCGTGTTCCTCAATTTATTCACAGTGTAAACTGAAGTCGATTACTATACTTGGAACTATATGTATCTATGTTTTTAGAATTAACAGGAGTAGCACTTGTAGTACTGTCATACATATTCTTTTATACAACGGAATATTTCTAAGGACCATTAATTAAGTACTTTATCTTATGAAATGTATGACATTTAAAATAATCTTTATATATATTAAAAGAAATTAAACTTGTAGTTGTATCGTCTTCCATTCTTCTTCAGCCAATCAGGTTCGTTAATATTAAATTTTGTTATGTTGAACATAATGTACTTGTCTACATTAAAACTACTGTTAATTTTGGCTGTTTCTCATAATGACTCTTAATTTCTATATTCCCAACTTACACACTATTCAGGAAGTTAATTTGTTGGTCTCAGTATGCTCGCTCTCTCTTTCAATGTCTCGCAGGTAGAAATTTAGATTTGTTTTATAAATCATATTTATTTCTATTTTCTTCATTTCAATATTTAACAAATAAATCTAAGGTCTTTTATGACCACGTTACATTTTCAGAATTATACTGTTAATATGATGTTAGAAATGTTCTTCTAATTCTACTGTACAATAATACATAAATGTAATATATAATATTCTGGCTGATACTGGTATTCAGATCTATAATATGAATGTAAGAAATATTGATGTATGTACTTGTATATAGAGTAGTGTCTTTAATGTTTATTTAGTCTGTGTAATACTAAAGATTTATTATATTTTTATTCCTAATGCTTCTATTTGAGAATGAATAATGCAAAGACCATCACAACTTTTTTAAATTAGGAAAGATTTGAGTTATTTTAAAAATGAGTTTATATTCCATAAAATAATTTAAAGTATCCCGAGATAGAATACATAAATTGATTATGATAATAGGAAATGTGTGAAAAGCAAAATTTTATATTTTTGGTTATCCATGTACTAGTAATTGTAGTTTTCTGTTTGTAAGTACAATATATACCTAGTATGTATTATATATCTCAGTTCAAATTAGGCTTTAGGTTATAATCTGAAATTCTTGGATGCATGTAAGTTTTAATCATTAAAAATATGTGCTAGGTGCCATATTATTAATATGACTAAAACTTCCATTGGGTATGCTACGGACACTGAGATGTAATGTGTGGATAAATACCTTTATTTTAGCATTCCATTAAAAGAATAATTTATATTAGACAAGAATAGGGTCAGGTTATTATTATATGGAGTAATGAAATTATGATGTTTATGAATTATTTACAGACAACGAACATATATTTTTTGTTTATATCGAATGATTGTATTGTATATTATAAAATTTATTCTAAATGTAATGATTAATTATTAATAAAAATGTACTTGGAATGTAACTTGGCTTTATAAAAGCATTTAAGTTTTTCTTACTGTACCAAGAAATATATTTCTCCTTAGCATTAATTTTGTATTGTTTTAATAAAATTTAATGAGTTGTTTTAAATTTTAATGTCTGTTAACAGGTATTAATTGTCAATAAAATTTAATAAAAAATATTGTGTTTTAATTGTCCATATCATCTACAGCAATTTGGAGTTATTTGGTCATTGAATTTTGTGTGTTTACAAATTCTGGAGCTAGAACCTTATTCAATGACAACATTGTACAGGAAGACTGACTTTGCTTAGAATTAATAATAACAATTTTATTAATAATTGCAATATGTTGTTGATGGTAATGTGATCTAAACTCAATGGTGTACACCCTTGAGACAACAGTGGAGAATTAAACTGAAGCGTTTGCAGGTACACATATTAAAGTAAACGATTTGGATGTTAAACATGACCCATGTGATGTAGAGGATATTTACTTTTCTGTTTATTACATATAACAAAAACTATATCTATATGAATAATTTGACAAATTGAGACCAAAATTAAACAATGATATGCTTGCTTGCTGCAGAAGGAACGGAACCCTGTTCAAGGAGGCCTTTGTCCAACAGATTGATATTATATAATTTTAATTAATAACATAAATATCGCACATATTGAATAAGTATAATAATCCACAGCTAGTAATGATTCTAATTAAAAGAAATAACCTTTGAATATTTGGCATGAAATTATTGTATATCTTGATAATTGTCCATTATGAGAACCTTTCTATATAAGATGAATTTCTTATCTTATTAGGCCGTAGCTCCGGATAAGGCCTTTGGGATTAAAAAGTTCGGAAAACAACCATTTGACAATAACATTAAACTTAAAAGGTATAAATTTATTGGCAATTGGTAGAAGTATTTTTATACATACGGACCAGAAGTAATATAAATAAACAAAAAAAAAAATACTTTTCTACAGAAATTTAATTAAATAACATATCAATTTATATACCTACTAAGTAGGTTCTAATCACCTATTTATTTTATCAAATATTTTAATAGTCAATTCAGTCAACTTTTTAATTGATGATCAATTAATTATATTATATAGTTATACAGAAAATTATTCCGTAAGTTCTAATTAGTGTGATAGCTGGGTATCACAAGTGAAAGGCATACATTCTTACAGGTACTTCGTGTGCGTTTTTCGACCTACATTTTGGATATTTTAGAATAGTTTAATTAAGATTTTTTTTACTACAATTAGAATATTTTGTCATTATTACTATAAAGAGGTTTATTATGTTGATTATAGTAAATACATATTGTCATATAGCGAATTATAGTGTACTGTGATGATGAGTAATTTAGTTTAATAAAAAATATATACGTATTAAATACGTCTGGCAACATGCGCATGGAAAAGATATTCATGAAGTCTTGTTAAATTCTAAATTAAAGTTCTTTTAATATAAAATTGTCAACATTTTTTTTTTGCTTTAATATATAATTGTGTATTTTTTTATATTAATGAATAGTTATAACAATGCGAAGAATTCAGTTTACTCTTTTCAGAAATGGTAACATTGATTTTTTTTCTAAAGCGCCAACTAGTGGTGATTTTGTGAAACTTGTTATTGATATCTTTCGCTCTATGTTCAAGTTGTAATTTATTCTCCGAAAATTGTGATACTTGCTGACAAACCTAACGTTTATTAATTATATGTTCGTGTTTGGTTTGTTCTCGAGTTTAATGACTTAAATATCTTATCTCAATGTATATGTTATGCGGGAAGTTCCTTTCAAAACCAATGACATTATATGAACTCGATGTGCGTTTTGGCCATTTTACTTGGCTTGCGTTGGTGATTCGTACATAAGTCACGTGACCTAAGTGGATTTTGGATCAATGGCGCCAAATGTCTATAACAGAAAATGTATGTAAAATTAAAGATAATTCATAGTAATGCATGATTGTTAATAGATGTACAATTGCCTGAACATATTAATATATAGATATATGTATATATATACATGTATAGGAAAAAAGAGGACGAAAAGATGCGTAGGACTCACGTCAATCTGGCAACAAAACAGTGCTGCTATCTATGTTGTCAATTTTGTTATGTAGTTTTTAATGGAGACTGCTTGTGAGATAAATATTTACTGTTAAATATTATAAAATGGAGTCATTGGGGTCTTTAGTTGTGTTGTGTGAGTGTATTTTATGTTATAAGAATGATTGGCAACGGATGTTAGGCGGAGAATAAATGCATTGACGAGCGGCTATTTACTTGCGGGGCAGAGCACTGTTCATGCCCGCCATATATTTTACTCGTACAATAAAGTGAAACGTCAAATCAGTTTTCTGTTCGATATCGCCTGAAAATGAGAATGATACTGTTTGCGCGTGTAATTATGTGTATTAATGAAGATTGAGAGGTAAAAGGCTCGATTCCGTGTAATTATCTCTTGTCCAATTATCATTGTTGAATTCCAAAATGTCAATTTTCTTTCTTACGTCAAATAGTACTTTTAGACGTTTTGTTTGCAGATTTACCGCGTTTTAGTCTGAATTATTGATCATCAAGTGGAATTTTAGTTATATATTTGTTGTTTTGAGGTACACTAAAGATTGATATTTGTTTTTTGTCTGTTAAAATTCGCGACAATAATGGCTGATATTCCACTTGTAGTGTATGAAGCAGTTAGATGTGTTGTTGTGAGTGATGTGTGTTCCTTTGAACATACATCATGTTTGTTGTATAATAGTAGTATAGACATGTCTTTTTGTTACTTTCAGGTTCTACCATTTGCTTTTTGTCAAACTAAAGTGCCATCATGTAGTGGATGCTGTGACATTTTACACAATGTTACTGCCACGGTCCAAGTGTAAAGCAGTAGTGGGATCGTGAACATGTAGGTTGTGTATAAACTGAGAGAGATGTCGTTGAGAGGCACCAAACGGGCGTCTGGTGTGCGCGGGGAGGAGCCGGGCACATCAAAGCGCCGCAGGACGGAGCCCGAGGATGCACTCTGGCAGCTCCGTCCTGATGTCAAAATGTCATCTATATACAACAGGAGTGCCTCAGAGGCACCTGCTGAACTATTCAGGTTTGTGTAACTTAGTGAATACTGTTGAATTTATATAAGGTATAACCTTAGAGATAGAAAGAGTTATTTTAGTTTTAGGTATAATTTAAACACTAAGAAATTTTGTATTAGGTAAGTAAATCAAGAAGCTCAAGCGAAAGTAGTTACTAACTACAACTGTAACATAAACATTTAATTAAGTAAAAATATTGGTAGTTTGCGAATAGGAGTATATTAAGAAATAAATAGGCATAGTATGATTATCTTACAGTTATTGTGGTACCACAATATATATGTACATAATCACAAATGCATTGTTTCATTAAAATTAATTTCAGGCTAGCGAATTTGCAATGCATATGCAACATCATACATTAATATTATTTTGGTACTGCATAGCAGCTTCGCTTCAGCTATCTTTAGCTGTAAATAGTTATAATAATAAATATTGTTTACATATGTTTCTTTAACAAATTCTGATTACTACACTATGTTTTCAGTATTAGAATCATATTCCAGTGTTAGACTGGATAATTGATTGTAAAATTTATAGTATTTTATTTAGTGTCATGAATTACAATTGTTTAGATGCAGTTTGAAGATAATAATCAATTTCAACTTACACTAGAATTATGGTGAAATACTACTGTAAAAAAAGTATAAACTGTAATAAATATTACATTATTGTTCTGTTACATGTTAAATAGAATACAGCATACATATTGTGAATTATTGTCACAGATAAAAAATGTATGATCAATAAATCAAATAAATGGATGAACTTTAGGTGTCAGTTTTAGTTCAGTGATAAATTTTGATATATTCTAGTAATATTCAAATTCTTTAAAAAAGTGTTCACCACATTGACTATACATTTTTATGTGATGTATATGTAAAGTAAGTATAAGCAAATTCTAGAATATTTCTGGCGATTGTATTTACATACTAACCTCACTGAATTGAATTGTATACCCTCATTGAAAATACTAGACTATTAAATACTTTACAATATTCACTAAAATATTAATTTTGTTACTAATGAATAAACAATTTTCAATGAGGGTTAATTTTATGTCTTACTAGTTGTATATCATAAGGTACTGCTTGCGTAGGATAAAGTCTTTGTTACTCAGTCATAGTGCAGTTGTCTATAGGTGGAAGGATTATTATAATTAGTTAAAACATTGGGATTTATTCATTGCAACAAACATACAATACATACAAATATCAAGCGTTAGGATAGTATAATAAATAGGATAGTATACAAAATATCAGGCGTTAGGATAGTATGCTTTAGCGAATCACTCTCTAGTAAATGTTATATGTAAATTTCACTTGAGCTTACAGCTGGTTGTTTCAATTTACTTTAGCAATATTTTTCACTAAATTCTATTTCAATGTACTTAATAAAATTATCTGAGGTATCAAATATCTTTTATATTTCTAAAGTAAATTTGTTATCAATCAAACATATTAATAAACTAACCATTGTTATATCCTAGATTGCTTATGATATTTGTGCGAAAATTATAACTTGCATAATCAATGAATGAACAAATAATTGAATGGACCATTTCTTCGATTAAATGGGACTGTCTGCTATAAATATTTGCCACACAATTATTTGGTTGCAAACTTGTATATAAAAAATGATCCCTCACTATTGATATTCAAAGTTCCATAATAAATTATACAATAAGGTAAGGTGAAATAAACATGTAATAATACCAGAAATTTTGCAAATATATTCTTAATCTAGGACATTAACAGGCCAGTACATAAAACTATGTATTTGTTTTACATATATTAGATATATTAAGACAAAATTGTTTGAATTGTACAGTCTGTAAAAAAAAACAGGAAAATTGTATGTGAAATTGTTTAGTAATAAAAATTGTAAATATTTCTTCAATGCAAATATATATTTATTATATAAAAAAATTGTGAGATACAAAGTTAAATAACATAACTTAATGTAGTCTTTAAAGTTACCCACCCAACCTTCCAGGAAAGATCTCATCAGCGCGATGAAGCTCCCAGATTCGGAGCCTCTCACGCCAAGTCACTATTGGGTCATCACAGACACATGGAAGCAGGATTGGGAGCGAGGAGTACAAGTTCCTGTGAACCCTGACTCACTGCCTGCACCCAAAGTCAAGATAACGGACAATCCACTGCCACCAGATTTTCAAGAATTCAAATTGTATGTACTACTTGTTGAGTGACACATGTAAATAAAATAGCATCTAAAACTTAGGTTTACTAAAATAAAATCATGTTCTTTATTTTTATATGATTGGCAATGACTAATAAAATGAAACAATATCCTTTATTTGCTATTAGATTTTTTTAGGATTCTGAGATAATGATAATACTTATTGTAACATACCTTTGACAACATTTTGCATAGAAATGTAGGGAATATAGTTTTTACAAATGTCAAAAAGATCTTTTAATATAATAACACATGATAATTAAAGGATGTCTACATGACCATCCATGGCTTAATGCTTTTAATTAGCAAAGAAACAACATTGACAAAAATAGAGTTTAAAATTAATGTAAAGTTATATGAGATGTTCCTTACCAAAACAAGTCACTGAGCATATAGAATTAGAATTTGGTTGTTGTTTTTATAAGTGTTCTTATTATTTGAAAGCAACATCTTATTCTTATCTTGTCCTACAATGTTTTTTAATTTCACAGGCCCAACAATAAGTATATACACTTAATGCGTGATGCACACTATCAGCCTGATAAACACCAGCTGAGCACTACGCCTGCTCGCGCTGAAGCCGCTTGCAGCTATGATCTTGATGCCTTGGACACAGCTTGGCTGAAACTGCTCAATGCGGAGCGGGCTAGGGCTGGGGCTATGCCGATCTCAGAAGATCAACTTGAGAAAGTTTTAGAAGAGCTGGAGGTAAGTGCGACATTATAACTAATCATATCATTGGTTTTTCAAGTGACACAAATTAAACAAACTCGTAGAAAGTCCTGAGCTGCGTCTGTCTATGTAAAATTACTGAACTGATTTTCATGCAAATTACATCATCAGAGTAATTCCAGATGAAAATTTAGTCGAAAAATACGATACAATAATGTTCTACTACCTGTGTGAAGCTTGGATGGCAAGGAGTATACTTATAGAATATTTTTTATCAACTTTATGTATTTTTAATCTTATGATCTATGTATTTTTGTAAATAAATAAATATACCGTCACAATTGTATTATTATGCATAATTATTTAATGCCAATCTTGTGTTTAGGTGCTAATGTCAGCTAGACAATTATACTAGATATTTAACTTAAGGTCCAGCATTTGGCTGACAACAGGTACAACTGACAAAGTCATAGCTTATCAAATTTATTGCATATGCATATGGTTGTTCGGAAAGTAATTTAGTTTTTTCCTAACTTTTCCAAACACATCGGTCAATTTCTTTCTGGCATGAACAGCATTTTTGCCCTTTCTGTAGTAAAACAGTAAGATATGTCGAAAATGCTGCTTATTCCTCTCCATACTTAAAAGGATACCAATCAAAAACTAATGCGTAGAATTAATTGTAATTTTTCACACACAAGCCTTGCTATATGAGCTCTCAAAGCATATAAAAATTATACAGCTTAAGTGTGAAGTTGAGTGCAAAAAATACAATTAAACCCTAATTTAGGAAAAAACTAAATTACTTTCCGAACAACCTAATAGATTCGTTAATATGGATCCAGCAACTGTGTACAGAATAATAGTTTACAGCCAGCCAGCCTTGCCTAGAAGCACAGAAGCTTCCTGGTAATTTTGAAAGTTGATGGAATGTTCTTCAAAATACTGGTTCACACAAACGGATTTATAAATGACTTAGGTCAAATTATAAATGTTAAATTACTTTCTTAAACTTGTTAATGTCAGAACCATATTATGAAAACTATGGATTGTACCAATAATTATGTTTTGTAATTTGTAATCTCTTACAATGTTGATGAACAGTGTTACATGTATAAACGAGGATTATATATTGTGAGTATTGCGGACATTTAGCATCTATTTAGGAGATAATTTGTAAAGTGGAACACAGTCTTATCAGTCAATAGATATTTTGCCTATTTTAGTTTATCTAAATTATTTATTATAATCAACTCAACTAATCAGATTTAATGTACCTATGACATGGTACTTTTGACCTCAAGTATTGCTATCCCCGAAGGTTAAGGCTTTCAAACTCTGCAATTAATTATATCTTATAATTATAAGCAAAATACTCTATATTATATACAATGTAGTTGCTTGGTGTCAGAAATAAGTAAGAGTAGATGTCATCCCCTAATCACAATTTTTTCTGTCCTTTGCTACGTATCCAGATTTAATATTTTTGAGTCAGTTTAATATAACAATATTCGAAACAAAAAGAAACATAATTCATAAATAATATAGGCTAGACATTTTACTTATTTGTTGTTTTATTAAATTTAACTTAATGTCTGCCTATATGTAGTATTGATTGCTTAAATGATACCACGTACACGAAGTAAGTTTAGAGGCCACATAAATAATGAAAAGTTGCAATATAGAACTAGGACAGTTGTGAAGGCAGTTCAAAATTACCAATGTGTTCGATTCTAAAATTAATAATATCGATTAAACATAATATGTACATTGAAGTAAACTTTGAGGCAGTATCGCAGTATTGTTTGAAATGGTAGCAGATATCGCGTAAATTATACAAATTATTTTGTTTGGCCCTTGAAAAAATAATAATCCTGAACTGATACAAAAGACAATTCTAATCTGTATAATCTCCTTTTTAAAAAAAATTGTCGCGGTAACATTTTGTAGTTTATTTCTCTACTAAAGAGAAAAACGTAAACTTACAATAATGCAATACCTACTACAGTCCAGACTATTGACTAATTGTGGTATATATGTCATAGGTGTGATTGATTATTGTTTCTTCGATGGTCTAGTTCTAGTTCATCATTAGACTATTAAATTTTATTACTCAAATCGACCTTGAGTCAGAGTTTACATCGGCGGGTCCACTTCATCCTACCAGGTCGAAATGTTTAGTTGTGTTGCAGGACTGAGCCTAGTTGCTCTTCAGCAAGACAGTAGGACTGTACTGTGACACTAATGTAGTAACCATAGTTCTTGTACTTTGTACATATATGTTTATATTCTTTGTACTTCTGTTTCAATGAACGTTCATTATAGTTATTAAGTATATGAACAATTTGTGTCGTGGAATTGTGTTGCATTTATTGCAGTGAGTACTTTGATTTATTCTCTCTCGCCTCGTTATGTATGGTATCAAGACTCATTATATGAAAATTATTTACTATTACATATCTGTGTTCGTCTATGCAAGCACATAATATTGTCTTGCTACAATTTTAGAAAATTGTCAATTAGTGCTTATTTACATCACATAAAAGTTTCTATTTTTATTATAATCGTGACAGTAAGTTTTAATCATGTGAGTTTTGAATTATGCAACATTTACAAAGTTATATTTAAAATCTCGAAATAAAGTTACACGAGATTATTAACTATCAAGGAATCATACTTTAAATTGTACTAAACAAAAAATAGCATATATCATCATAAAAATTTTTTTCAACGTGGTTAAACATGAGTATTCAAATTTCGAATGCAGATGGTTTTTACGTTAGTAATCAGAGTTTCAAACCAAAAAGGTAAAAATATAACTACGTTAAAAATGTAGAATAATTTTCGCCTATTCGGCCAGCGGAAACTAAAGAAAAATCAATGAAATATTTTTATCTCCTGACCTCATTGTTCTAAATAAAATCTTTGAATTTCACTGTTCTAAATAAACTCTCTGAATTTAATATAAGGCTACAGGTGAACTAGTTTTCATTGGGCTTAATTCGTAGAATTAAAAACCATTTGTATTATTTAAATAGATTATTCCGTTTATATAGGAAAAAAAAGTATAATTATCTCCGTATCAGTTTCTTAAATGAATATGTATTTAAATTGTTACGTTTGATAAAAAATATAATGACATTGATAAAAAAAAACAAAGTATGTAAGTATGTACTTGTACTTGTGGTCAGATTTTATAGCTATATTTGTTCTAAATAAATGAAACCCTAAATATATTATATACCTCTTCAAACTTTGTAATGCAATGCTTATCACAGTGAAACCCATTGTGCAACTCGTTTTCGAGAGCTTAACAAACACATAAATAGGTAGAAATTCTAAAAATCATTGTATCGGGTTCTCCATTGATAGTTTTCCAATAATACTTCTTTTTTTCTGAAATGTGTAATGTACAGCAATCGATCAGTTACCTTTTGTATTATATGTATAGATAATGCTTAACATATTCCTCTTGTGAATAAAACATATTCTTGAGAAAATTCATCTAAATTTGTGTGTATGAATTTTTCAAGTTCAAATTTGATCTTGATTGATTTTGATTGATTTTCACGTTTTCCAAATATAAAACAGGGCTCCTTTAATTTGTCAAAGAATTCGACTAGAATTATAAAACTGTTTTTAATTCAGTTTTGTGTCGTCTGTCAGTGGACTTTATATACGAGTCTATATTAAGTGGCTGTGCAGTCGACCCAACAAGCTATCAATTATATTCAATAGGTAATGTGTTGACTCCTTGACAGTTAAATAATAATTCTGAACTCCGTAGTGCAAAGTGCGTGCTATATTTTTGTATTATGTTTGACCTGATTATATTAATAGTGTCTTTGCCCCTTTCTTATAGAACGTAATGAAGTCTTTAACGACCAAGTAAAATGTGGAATATAATATGTGAAAATAAATAAATAAAATGTTAAAAATAAATTAAATTTTACTCATAAACACGTTATTTGTGAGTATTGTTTATTTTATTTGTATTCTTTAATTATTATACCTTGGTACAAAGTTATAATATCAGGTGCTATTATATTTTTAATACAGTTCCAATTTAAATTTAACAATATATCGTTATCATGTGATGCCTGCGATACCAATCATGCGTTGCCGTTCCTAAACAACTAAGATGGCGTGTCTTATCCTGTAGTTTCACTCTGCCTTACCCCACCTTTCAACGGAAATGTCTTACAAAGCGTCCTGCTTTTAAATACTAGAGTTTGAGGTAAGACCCTTTTTTACAAAGTTTGTATATTCTAAGTGAATAGGATATAACGAAGTCGTCAAATCTACACGACTATTGAACCACCGATATACCAGAATTGAAATTCAGTTCAGTTTTTATCTATTGTACGGTTTGGTTTATATATGTACTATATGGTGGTTAAAAACATGAAGTTGAATTTTTGTATATGAAATGTAGCTAGAAAGGTTAATCGCGGCAAACGTAACGCTTTTTCATCTGTTGTCAAACAAAATATATAATGTATTGGCATTGGTGATAAACGTTGGTTAGTTAAAATTGTAATTAAATCCACGTATTGTAGTCATTCAAATATTTTTTTATTATAACACATTTGCCGCATAAATAGTCCCTATAGTGCTATTCAAGTAAGGAGATATAATATATGTACAATGTATAATAGAGTTCCCTGAATACGCTTGTAGTATGGGTACTAAACAATTGATAGAAATACTGAAATATATAGATAGAAAACACAGATTAAGACAGCAGGAACAAGTGAAGTTCGAAATTTATCGCTATATGTTTTTGTAATTTTTAGAATATTAGAAGTATAGTTTCACTTTTTCTGCTAAAATAAACTTAATTTTGACACAATTCAAGAGAAAACACGATCGCACTTCTCCCTTCGCAACCACGTGCGTGCTGAAGCTGCACGTCGTGTAACAGGTGGAAGACAAAATTCAAAATAAAAAATTGTTTCCAAAACATGACACTAGGCTTCTACTTGTACGCCGGTAAATGCACATTTGTCCACTATAGCCGCAGTGTTCAAAAACTACAGTTTCTTTGTAGACGGTTATTGCCATCATGCCACATAGTGACTAAACGCAAGTGTCCGTCAACGTGTCAATATAATAGAAGTGAACAGTGAGCAAATTACATAACAAGAAGTGAACTGCATTTAGAAAAAAATAATGTCAATGATTTTAATTTTACAATTTTTGTTATAGGTCCGAACATGGGACAAGATCCAAGCTATTATGAAGTCAGAAGAAGGTTTAGGCATCGAATATGATGAGAATGTAATTTGCGATGTCTGCCGGTCTCCTGACTCCGAGGACGGTAATGAAATGGTCTTCTGTGACTCTTGTAACATTTGTGTGCACCAAGCATGTTATGGCATTACTGTTATTCCAGATGGTACGTATGGTAATGGTGAGTTAACCATCACTCACATTTATTATTTAAATATATTTTAATAAACTAATTATATTTTTTTCTTATTACAGGACAGTGGCTGTGCAGGCCTTGTGGTGACGGTGTACGACCTACCTGCGTTTTGTGTCCAAATCTCGGTGGTGCAATGAAATGTACACCATCTGGCCATAAGTGGGCCCACGTCAGTTGCGTGCTTTGGATACCCGAGGTATCAATTGGTTGTGCTGAAAGAATGGAACCTATAACTAAAATATCTTCCATTCCCCCTTCACGCTGGTCATTAGTGTGTGTGTTGTGTCGCGAGCGCAAAGGAGCATGCATACAATGCTCTGTAAAAACTTGTAAAACTGCTTATCATGTAACGTGTGCATTTAAACATGGACTAGAAATGCGTGCAATAATAGAAGATGAAAATGCTGATGACGGGGTCAAGTTGCGATCGTATTGTCAAAAACATAGCGTTAATTCCAAAAAGGAAAAGTGTCCTGGCTCTGGCTCGGAGGAGGAGGAGGTGAAGAGAAAGCGTCGAAAAGACATGACGTCGGAAGAGAAGACTCAAGCTCGGGCTGCTCGGTTACAGGAAATCGAAGCGGAGTTTGACCGTCATGTTAGCATGAAAGATATCAGTACTCACCTTCTTGATGTTGATCAAGATGCTATTAACTATATTTACAATTATTGGAAACTGAAGAGACGAGCAGGGCATAATCGTCCCTTGTTACTTCCAAAATCAGATGATAGTGAACTTCTGACTCATAGACAAGAACAAGCTGATCTCGACAAAATGAAAATGTTTGTTCAGCTTAGACAAGACCTGGAAAGAGTGAGGAATTTGTGCTATATGGTGAGTAGAAGAGAAAAACTCTCGCGTTCATTCTTTAGATTACGAGAGCAAACATTTCATAAACAAGTGGCGGTATTATCGGCGGACCCCACAATATCGGGATCAGATTTGGCTGCCATTATTGAGGCTAATCATGGACCATCAATATATGATAGATTATATTCTCACGATAACGCACCGGACCATCAGAATGATTTTGATGCATTATTGGCACGAATCGCCCCTCCAGATTCATGTGACGAAAAGAAGAAAGATCGTAATGGCCTAGTAAAGGGATCTAAGTCATCAAATCCCTATAAGAAACATTACGTGAATGGATCGCGTCGAAGTGGAAGTGTGTATAGTGATCTCTCTAGTGAAGAAAGTGCTGTAGAAATCAGTCGGCCTAATAAATATCGCGGTAGAGCTATTGGATCTAGCACTGATGAAGGTGCGAAAAAGCCTAGTTCACCAAAGAAAAAGGTATCTCCTAAAACTAAAGGCAAGAAAATACCCAAAAAGTCAGAGAGGAAAAAGAAGAAAGTGCCACAGTCTAAAGCATTAATTGAGAGTAGTAGTGATGATGAGTCAATCAATGATAAAATGATGAAAGATAGATCTCGTAGTAAAACACTAACACAAATGGAAAAAGAAATGACAGCTGGAAAGTTAGGGCAGTCTGGTACTGATAGTGATGATTTAATGCCAATAAAATCAGTAAGAAACAATAAGTTACCGATAGATCAGATTTATTCGGATAGTAGTGAAGACTATCCTACAAAAGCAGACACAAGTACAGAGAAACCAAAAACCGTAGAAAAAATTAAGTCTGAAAAACCAAAAGCTGAAAAAGTAAAACCTGAAAAATCTCCAGGTGGAACTGATTCCCAACAACCATTACCACGGACTAAAGCTGCAATGAAAGAATTTATATCAACTCAACCAGAGAAGAAACGTTCTGTCACTGAAGAAGAAAAGCCTGCTCCTAAGAAAAGAGGCAGGAAACCATCAAATAAAGATAAGAAAGTTCCAGTTAAACCCGGGTCTGGTGATGAGGCAAAGAATAAAGAAAATTTGAAGTTTTCAAAGCAGAAAGACAATCCCACAGATTTAATTGTGCCACAACGTCAAGCTGCTAAAAAAGCATCGGAAAATATGCGGTCTACGACAGTAGTAAAGAAAGACGAATCAATTACTGAAAAACCAGTAAGTGGTGATGATGCTAAATCCAAACCAAAAATAAAGTCGAAAGGTAAAGAAGTTAAGGAACCTGTTACCCCCAGTACTTCACCAAATAAAGCAAGCAAGAAAAAATCTACTAAAGAAGTTGAAAAGGAACCTATTTCTTATGTGCCACAAAGGCAAGCGGCTAAAAAAGCTGCGGCACATATTAAGAGTGGCCTTGGAAGTAAACCACTAGCCGTTGAAGCAACTGATACTGATAAAAAGAAGGATGAAAAGCCAGAATTCTCTAAAGTGTCACCCAGGAAAGAAGATGTTAAAAGCACTAAAACTCCAACAAAGGAAAGTTCGAGCTCTTCGTCATCAAGCAGTAGTAGTTCTTCATCGTCGTCATCAGAGGAAGAGCAAGAAAAACCTGGAATTAAGCCAACAGCTAAGGCTCGTGAAATTAAACCAGCAATTAGACAGCCATCTATGTTTTCACCACCCGGGTCTAGACCCACAGTGGACTTGCCCTTTCTCGACAAGGTGTCAAGACCATTGTCTTCAACCAGTGCATCAAGTGACTGTGACAGCTCCAAGGACTCTAGATCTGGTTCAGGAAGCCCCTCGCCTAAACGTCCGCGTAGACGACGAAAAGGAAAGAGTCTCTCCACAGATACATCTCCACGCAAGGCCCCAGACAAGAAGCTTAAAACTTCCGAACGGGGGTCCGAGCGTAGAGTATCATCACCGATTATTGAAGGAGAGGAATCGAGCCGACCCGGCGATGCGCGTGCTTCCACGCGTGCTCGGACCAGAAGCACTACTACAAGCGGAAATATGCCTAATAAGCCTGATGCCAGACAGCGAAAACAATCTAAAGAGGACTCCTGTTCTACCACTGTCTCAAATAAAACTTCCAAAGAGAGCGGCCAGTCCAGTGAATTTTCATCTCCGAAGCGGCAAAAGGACGAGGAGATAAAAAGAGAAATAAAGAAATCTCCGATTACAGAAGTACAGATTAATGATGTCAAGGCAAAGACAACTAAACCTAAAAATCGTACTTTATCAGTGGAAGAAAAAGATAAAATTAAATCAGATACTGACGCTAGTACTCCAATCAAAACTAGTCCAAGGAAAAGCCTAGATTTAAAATATAAAAGCCGAAGAATGAGTGTGAAAGATCCTGGATTGAAGGAATTAGGAGCGTCAGCAATTGAAGTTACCGATACCGTCACTTCTAAACAGAGAAGGCCAAGTAGACATGAGATTAAACACGAGGTTCTCACCGCTTCTGGATCCGAACACAGTAGTATTTCGCCAGTTAAAAAGTCTCTGCCAGTTGAAAAACCTCCAGAAATTGTAGATCATAGAAAAAGTCCTATACCAATGAATGATTTCACTGTTAGCGACAAACATTGGTTAACGGCTCCTAGTCCTTGTGGCAATCTTCCTCCTATAGAGAAGCCAGGTGGTCCCGAAAAATATATAACTGAAGATAAATCAATGGATTCTGATTCTGCTGATAAAAATAGTGTCAAAATGATTGCAAAGATTCAAGCAAATCTAAACGAAAATACAATGATTAAATCACCGAAGACTCCTATGGATGCTAGAACAATGTCCATAGAATCAATGGATGTAGAGACACCAATGGCCAGAAACATACGAAAACGATCAACGATTGATTCGGATAAAAAGTTTATTATTAATCAAGATTCCAGTCATGTGCAGGGTGTCGAGATCTCAAAAAGTGCTAAAATACCCTCTACGGCAAATCCATATCCTAATCGCTCTATGTTTTCACCTCAGCCTAAAGACCACGAGCTTTTCGATTACGACATATTAGCTGTTGATGATGGTTTCAGTCATGATGATGTGATGAAACCTTTTACATCATATCCAGAATTTATCTTTAAAGAAGACTCAAAAGATCAAGGTGTACAGGAGACTCTGAACCTAGTCGATAGGCTTAGATTGCAACTGAGTTCTAAGAAGGCGCCAACAGAAAGTACAGCCCAAGATGAATCAGTAACTGACGAAAAAGACAATAGGAATCAAGATAACAGCACCATACCAAATTCAGCAGAAGTTGAACATGATCGTGATAACTCACCGGTAAATAAACATGACGATGATAGAAGCTCACCAAGGGAAACCCAAACGTCTGTTAATCATATTCCACAATCTTATTCATCAAATATTCTACCTAGAGAGACTATAATCGATAGTAAAGACTATAACCAACCAATACCAATGACAAGTAATGACAAGTGGTCTGATTTGCCTGTGTCTCGAAGTGAAACCCACAGTGTACAATCTAATGATCGAAAATATGACCATATGAACGTTTATCAAGAAGAAATTAAAGAGTCAAACACAACTCAGTCAGATGTACAATCTGTTTCTGAAATCGGAGATACAATATCCTTATCTAAACAAAGTGACGATTCCCAGTCATTGTCTGTCGTTGACCACTCTGTTCACAGCAATGATCATGAGCTCACACAAGATAACCAAACTTATGATAATAATAATTCTTTAGTGCACTCAGATTGCGCCACAGTCTCTTCACCTTATATTAGTCAAGATGCCAAATGGAGAGAAAGTAAGATAGCAACTCGCAGATCCTCTGCATCAAGTACAAGCTCTGAAGGATCTTTATGTTCTCAGAAGACAGATGTAAAATCCCATATGAATCATTGTGATTCACATCAAGCTAATATAGTGCATATAGATTCTTATCCACCAATACCTGCATATTCCTGTCCAGTTGAGCCATCAATGCCATTGAATCAATATAGTGCTTATGGTCCAGATGCCTCACCGTTCTTGAGTTCTTTGCCACTGTTTGCAACTGGTGTTTGTGCGTCATCTCAGCTGACACTGCCATCTCCAGGTCCAGGACTTTATGCTCCATCTTGCGGTCTTCCGTTCTCAACTACATCATTATCAACTTTGATGCAACCGAAACCAGCTTTCCCACAATTATGCGCGGCTTTTACATCTTCATCACAAAATATTGCGTTGACTACAGCTATGATAGCACCGCCAACACCTAAACCAATCGATTCTCCGCGAGATGATATTGATGTAACAGGAAGTGATAAGTTTTCTATACATGTTGCGTCAAGTCCAAGCATTAGTGTCGATTCATATGATACGCCCACCAATAGAGCTTCTACCAAAATGTCAAATGATAGTTGTGAAACTATTGCTAGTTTACATCCTCAAGAATCGAAATCACCTCCAAAATTGACAAAAACTCCATCTAAATTTCCAGGAAAATCACCTGGTAAAAGTCCAGGAATCTCACCTAAACAAAGCGAAGTTACCAAAGGCACCAAACGCTCGAGTAACAGAAGCAATCGAACCCAAAGAGGGCGAGGGCGATCTAAGAGCCGAGGACAAGGTATTCATGGTTTCCCTGTGGACTATATGGGTAACTCTATTCAAAATAAACTGGTCGGTACAGTTTATGATTTCAATGAAGATATTGCTAATGACGGTGTTGATCTCAAAGCGCTCAGAGAAAGACGTAAATCTATAGATATAAGAGATGATAGAAAATCCGAGCATTCATATAAAGATGCTTCTCAGTCACCTCCTGTCGGTAGTCCGCAGCAGATAAATAAAAAACCGCCTCAAATCGAAGCCAAAGACATTAAACCTACTTCCGAGCCTCCAGAGCGTAATACTTCACCACATGCTAGTAAAACGTCTTCAGATCGCGGGCCTGGATTTTCACAAGTCCCACCCGTGTTACCTGGACCCGTAGACATGCGCACCTATGCTTTCGAAAACCCAGTGCCTGCTACTGGTAATGTTTATCACAACCATTTATTAGAGTTTGCCAGTGGCACTGCTGATCAGCAGTTAGCTGATATTGATGAAGAAGTTGAAAAGCAACTCCATAGTGCGCTTATGGCTAGCAAACCAAGATCTGGCTCTCCATCTGCAACTCCAGTATCTGAATTAGTAGAGCCCTCTCCAAAAGAAACATTTATTGCACATGTGCCGAAAGTCTCATTGTCTGACTCACGAAATCAATTAAAAGTCAAAATAAAAGGTCCATTCCTTGATGCTAATTATTCAACTAGCTCAGTTCAGCCGGTCGTACCCCAGCCACCAGCACCGGTACATGACGCCAGCAGCAGCTTTAACGTCTCCAGTGGTGCATCGTCAAGCATGATGTCTGGCTCTACTAACTTAAGACGAATGCGTAAAAAAGAATTGTTGCGCCAATATTGGACACAGGATATGAATATGGATGATCCTACTGCCGCTTCTATTATGGGAACAACGCAACCACCGGCAGCGCCACCTCCGTTGGCTAGAGCTGTCATTACAATACCAAAAGCTGTCGCATCTATGACCAGTATACCTACTAGAGAAGACTATAAAATGTGTGATACTGCAGCAGAGAAAAAGAAACGGAAGACCACAAGTGGTTTATCCCGCGAACTGAGACATTTAGAAGTAAGCATGAACGATGCTGATCCATCAGATGACACAAAGTTGTCTAGCTTCAGTGCTTCTAATTCGAGCCAGTCGTATAAGAGACGAGGTCGAGTTACTATAAAGCCAAGCACTGCGAGTGCTCCTGCACCAGTGGCTCCTAAACTGAAGATAAAATTAAGTTCTAATAGCGTGCAGCAGGTGAACGACGATACACAAGGATTCCAGTTACGCCCTCCAAAGAAGCGTCTGGTTAACTTACCGAAGACAAGTATGGAGGATGTCCGTCGAGAAAATATGAAATTCCGAAGGAAGATCATGGCCGACTTTGAAGAACATGAAAGAACTAAAAAACATAAGCCCAGCAAGAGTGAGAAACGTAAGAAAAAGAAGGATAAAAAAGCAGAGAAACTTCAAGTGATAAACCCGAGTACTAGTGAGGGTTTGAGGATAAAAATAAAACTTAAAAAAGAGGAGGAGGCGCAAGGCAAGTCTTCAAAAGTGGCAGTCCCAACGGTAGCCGTACCGGCCGAACCACTTTTGGCTAGCGTGTCCGCTAGGGCGACTGCAGTGGCGAGCGCTTCCGCAGTGGCTCCTGAGCCGGTCGTTGACCCTTTTGAATACGACCCTACTGCTCAAGACCCGCTCGCCATCGATCAGCCCTCTTACTCCGAATCATTTGCCATGCGTAAAATTCGGACTGATAAAGTGACTCCGATCCGGTTAAAACTAGCCCGTAGCTCCAAGGGTTCCGGATATGTCATGAAAGAGGCTGGCGAGGAGGGAACATCTGCGGCATCGTCTGAGACGGCGCCCCCACCTGTCTCCTCGCCCTTGCCCTTAACTGTGAATAAACACTGTGAAGTGAGGTGATATAAACCACGTTTTAGCCTAGGCAAGTAGACTAAGATACGAACAAGCTTAAAATCTCGTGTATAGTTATAGTTCATATAAATTAGTGTCTGTATATTTCAAAATAATATTATCTTCTTTGTAATGTTTAGTTAATCGTATTATTTATTTGTATAAATTGAAAGCTCAAGAATTCGATTAACTTAAAAGTTATGCTAAGATATTATAAAATATGTTAGTGTTGTGCACTCAGTAATGTACAAGTAAATTTTATTGTTTCTGAATAATTTTTGTTAATGTTAATGTTTTAATTTTCCTTAGTTGAATCTCATGAATTTTGTCTTGAAATATGTAGTCATGATAATACGGTGATATATTTCCTTTTATAATTTCAATATCACAACATACATCACGATTATTGAGCACACTTCGGTACACAGTACTGACAATCTTATGAACTATTACTTTGATCTATTCCCTATTTAGTATATTATAATTGGCTAGTAGTAATGGACTATTCTCTTGGATAGGCGTCATATTTAATGTGACCACCGCATCTTCATGTCGGACGTCACAGCTTAGGACATGATTAAATTATAAAATATATATGCAGTGTATATAGTCTATTAACATTTTATCTAAAATCATATTTATTTCTATATCGAATTTATTATAAAATAAATCAATAATTTAATTCTTTATTCTATTATATTTTCATTTACATACGATCATTTAAGTACAATCATTAGTGAGTGTAAAACAAATTGCCGTGACACAACGTCTGTTCGGCCTAATCTCGTAAATCCGTATTCCAAATATGTTTTTTATTATCTATAGAGAATGTTTTCAGAGAAAACATTTAGATTTAGAGACTAACTATAATATTTATATGATAAATTGTGACATAAGTTGGAATAGATGTATATTCGTGTTTTAGGTTTAGTAACACTGTCGAACAGAGATATGTTAATGGAATATCCACACTATAATGTAGTTCTTTGCAAATGATTACATATCCTAATATTTCTGGTACCCATAATAAACTTTTATACTATTTTAAAAATTTCCATTTGAGAATGGTTTTCTGGATGAAATCACCGGTTGTAAATACTAATGAAAATATTTATGTAAATTATGATATGTATAAATTTGATTACGAAATGAAATTCACTTAGGTTATAGCTTTACACGTTAGCACCCCAGAAATCATATTGTGCATTCTATTATAACGTATAAAAAAATAAGTTTTGCGTACTAAGATTATTGACTGTAGTACTGATTTTCGTTTTTAGACGGATAACCAATAAATTATTTCAGGTATATTTAGAATGAATTCTGATTGACTATTAATTTGTAATTAAATATTGATCGTATGTTTCCATTTATAATATTGATATGAATATTGATCTTATATATATTTTAATATTCATATAAACTGTAAAAATCAAGCTGAGTTCAGAATAGGATAAATTAATTAAATATATGATAGTAAGTGCATGCAAATAGTATGAAACGATTATAAGACACTAAACTTCACCAGCTTTGTACATCCTGAATAAGTACTTGTTTATGTAAATTGAACTAGTAACCTTTACCTATCGCGCTAAGGTTGATCTATATATATATACTTAATATTAACATATATATTACATTAGAATGTAAGTATTGTACATACCAACATCAACTCTCCATAACAAAATCTCTAAATGGCAATGAAATCGTATCTATTGCGGGTTTCTAAGTAATCTGGAACAGAGACAGATACTAATGCGCCTTTGTTTTGGAAATTACAGAGATATGGCCACTGAACAAAATAAAATCAATATTATTTATTTTGCCATAAGGTTTTCTTTCCTGTTTTTTTACGCTCATATTTCTAATTGGTTTTATTTTACTAAAGTACACATTGAACTAATGTTGTCTTTGGTTGAAATTACAATTACCTAAATATAATAATTTTATTTGAAACGCAAGTGTAGTATTGGCATAAACATAGAAGAGCAGGGTTTAAGAGAATTATACATTTCACTTCGGCTTTCTACAACAACTGAGTCACAATGTTGTCAGGCCAACAAAGTCGCCAAGGGTTGTTTGTAACTAATACATATTCAGGATGTCTACAAACTCCGCTGATTGGAAATATTTTTCCGTAAACGATTACGACTTGCTAATTCATGATCAATGTCAATTCTAAAAGTTTTTTTCATTAACCTATTTAATAGTATAACCATGATTGGGCAAAAATAAAAAAACTGTTGACTGATTCGCGTCTGTGTATGGTTTTGGATAAAAATATTTTGTTCATGTGTTTAGTGCAATATTTGGCAATACTCAATTAATAGTCATAATGACTTTATAGGAGGAGAGTTAGGTTTTAAGTTCTCTTGTAATGTTCTCTAAGCTATTTATTCCGTATAACACATAATAATCAATTGCTTTATTTGGATTTACGACTGGTTGGTAATTTATGAAAAATACGTAGGATATTATTAAAATGTTAAGATTTATGATGCAACAAGCTTTCTTGCTTTTATCACCCAAAACGGTTACAGCAAATAATACTCTACCGAAAATTTGCCTGTGTGATAATTACAATTTATGGGCATAAGGAATTGACAAAAATATAATAAAACAATTCAAAATCTATCCACTTTAGTCGCTGGTACGACATGAATACGATTTTGTAAGTTGATTTTATCTACTGACAAAACAATTCGTTTTGGTCACAAATATCTGTTTACTAGCAATTTTGTCACTGAAAGCCGTCTGTTCTAAATTAATTCGTGCGTCTAGTTGGATTAGGTATTAGGTTATTTTATACTTTTATATTTTTCTAATTATAATTTTATTTAGTAGAAAAATACAATATTAATGCATTTAATGTATTTGTTCTTTGATATATTGAGAGTGGAGTGGTCACGATATTGTTTATATTTACTTTAAGGTTCGTTTTATGAAACATGTTTCAAAATCACAAACGATAACAATGATAATTAAAGAACATACCGCTAGTGTCGACGTTTAATGGGATATACGGCTTTCTGTTCTCTAGAGAAATGAACAATGTGCATGAAGTTTTATGCATTAGGAATATTATATATTCCCTTTGATCTAACTAGACGTACATAGGCGTCCTTCATTCGAATGGCATGTGATTGATATCGGCGATGTCTTTAACGTAGTTTTCTAGTTATTATGAAATAAATTTATATTTTTTTAATAATATTTAGATTTAGTAAAAAAGTATTGTATCTTTGTATTTATTATTTAGAATTCTCTTCGGATTTGTTTAATATCGCAGGATAGCACGTTCTTATTTTATAACATATCACGTCTTAAAGCCTCAGTATAAAATATATAGTAATAAAATTAGTAAATGACCACTCGAATATACAAAATAGCCCATACCAGTAAATGAGTAATTTATTCGCTTTTTAAGTGATAAACAATGCTTGACTATTATTTTATTTAGTTTGTTTTATGTACATTAATTTATTTATTTTATTATTCCAAGTTTTAATTTGATAATTTATTTAAAACTTAAATAACGTGTACGATTCAATTAAAGATAATGATATATCTTCGGTCTGCATGGGATTAATTATAATTTTGATTTATTATTTTGATTATTATATTCATTATTATATTCACTATTACTTTATAATTATCGGTCATATGCCCCGACATTTTATAATACGCCGTGACGACGACGGATTAATCGTGTCCACTTCATACGGTACAATGTATAATAAATTAAATCATTCGTTACCATAAAATATTTATTTATAAGGTATTAATCAGAAATATTAGTAGGGACTGTGTTAGGTTCTTGTAAATATTAGGGTAAGTATGTGTATGTTAGCTTATATTGATTAAAATATTTGAAACCAAAATTCGGTTCGGGTCTCGTTAGAAATTTGAACTTGACCCTGTATCTCGGCTAATTCGCACACACCAATCTTTTACCAATATACAGACATGTCTTTAAGCTATGAGTAGACTAGAATCGTTGATAATTAGCTATTATTCAACTATTTTTCATCGAATCTTTGTATATAAAAAGATAAATAATGAAATTCGATTCAACATCTGATTGTCTATCGCTATAGTCTAAATTAACCCCATTCTAGAGCTTAATTGTCACAAAATGTTTTGAAGAAACTATTTTTTACAAATAATAAAATATTAAGACATAAATTTAGTAGTGTGTATGTGTTTAGTCATAGACAATGTTAATGTTGAAATTTAAGTGTAGTAATAAACAATTATGTAATTCTCTTTTGTATTGATACATGTTTAATATGTATTACTATATAATGTTTTATTGACAACCAATTATGTTTACTCACAGCTTGATGACATTCATTTAAATTATTTATTTAAATAGTGGAATAGAGTTAAGCATAAATATCATATATAATTTATTTTTTACTATATAAGGTTGTATGTAAATAAATTGTGTTAGGACATTAGAACAGGATTGCTATTACATTCAAATGAATTACATGTAGGTATAATACGTATAATTGTAAATACATAAGTATAATCAATTGATATGGCACTCTCTAGATATCCATATTAATAATGTCTAATGGTTATTGTTAGGTTAAATAATGGTAGTGAAATAGAGCTTCAAATAGCTGACAAGTACCCATGATCTACACAATCGATGTATTACTCCACCGGCTAAGTAATTTTCTTATTGGATTTAATAGCAATGTTCTTAAAGATACTACCTACTAGCATGTTTGGTAGTGCGTTCACTATGCCAGTATTGATGTAACTATAGTATACACAGCTATGATATATGTCCACATGCACTTTGCATGTTAAAAATGTTTTGAAATCACACCTGCAAGTCTTCCCTAATTAATTTAATGTGGTCATAATAAATTGTAAAAATATTTTTTGATTGGCAATGTTCTGAAATTTCTGAAAATATAATATGCTATGTTAATTTTGTATTTTACAATTTTTAACGCACAATTTATCAATTTGTTTTTAAACATCACAATTGGACAGTCATCATTACCTTGTTACTGTGATTTGTTTAATTTATGTAATTATTATTGTTTATTGCTTAGGAATAATTTTGTATGCGAGATTCCGATTGCAGGGAATAAAAATGATTTAAATTGTACATAGTATTTCATAATGAATTTGTTTTAAAAATATTTTTCTATAAAGTGATGTATGTAATTTTTTCATAGTATGTAATAATTAGTAATGTTTTTTTGTATTTTCTAATGAAGTCATGTTATTTAGATTTCGTGCTATAAGCGCATGAGTTATTGTGTATTTTAATTTACTGAGTGTTTATAAAGATGTTGTATGGAATTGTATTTTACAGTATATTATACGCGATGGCGGTACGTGTGTGTGTTGTTGATATGTTTATGTGAGGCGGTTACGGATACTGACCCTAGTAGATCTATAACAACCATCTTTGACCATCTACCATTGTACCAGTGCGCACGGCGGACGCTGGACGCTGGACGCGACGCCGGCGCTAATGGCGCTACTCCCCATTCCTTCCGCTGCGTGATGTCGCAACGGAACTCACTTGAACCGTGCTTTTCTCTTGTCTGACATTTACTTTTCGACTAGCTATAGTAGTATCCGGCTCGTATATGGATGATTCTGTTTATTCTCAGTGTTTGTTGGTTGTGGTATTTAAAATTACGTAATGAGTACATCGTTCATATAATTGTATGGTATCGTTAGATTAACTTTATGTGCCACAGTCGCAGAAAGTTATAAATGTTCTAGATAAAGCCATGGCTGAGCGACTCGTACCAGTCATTAGTTTTAGGAATAATTATTGAATTATTAATATTAAAATTCACTACTATTTATGTTGTAGTCAGATATAATCAGTTAGAACGTAAGAGATTAACGTCTTATACCAATACCCGTATAAGTATTACAGTAAAACTTTATTTCCATTTGTGTAAAACTAGATTGTTAGAAATTATTGGTAAATTATAAGTTGTACAAACTACTTATGTACAGATTGTTGTAATATAAGAGGAAAATGTCGGTGCGGCGTTGTTGTGTGGCGGTCGGATAAGGATGTGAAGTTGTAACGCGGGTCATGTATATAGTGTACAAGTGGTGTTGTATTATAACTGTGTTTTCAACGTGCACATAGTCGCCTCATTCATTAATAAATTTTTTAGATCAATTACTCTTTTCCTTTTAATTTCTCTGTCTCTTTTGTTCACTTGTCTATTTTATATATTTTGATTTTGTTTGTTTGTACTACTTCATTTGGTCCCGTTTTTTTATTTATTCAGTATGAATCAGCCGAAGTCACTAATTTACAATTATGTCAATTAAATCTATACGTAATTAATCGATTTTCTTTACACTACAATAGATATAGATTACGATTTAATAATGTGTTTATTCCCGTGATGCAAACATTATATTGTAAGAATTGTGGAAAACGTTAATTTGCTAAAATAATATGTTGCATAAAGTAGTTACCTGTACTTGTAATGGACACTAAATAAATTTATTCGATCGCTAATTAAAGTTTAATTGACTTTACATGTATTATTAGTCATCGATTTCAGTGTACCATAGTTTTATAAGTAATGGGATATGTATGATATGTGAGCAGATATATAGTAAATATTATAGTAGGCTACTGAACAAGTCTAAAGTTGAATGAAAATGTGAAACAAGTTTACATCTGTAAATTTACCGAAAAGTGGTCTGCATGTACCTTTGTCCACTTATCGTAGCCAACAAGCAGTTTTCTTTGTAAAGTATATACTTTGTAATGGTAGTGAATTTACAGTGTACACTTATAAGACTTTAATTATTCGTAATGACTTTGATGCTGTTCATGTATAAAGAAGATTGTTACCACTTGCTATAGGCGGCACAAAAAAAATACCCTTATGTTTAAATTATTTGGGTACAGTCAAGACCTCTGGGGCTTATCAGATAAACCTGTTAATAAGAAAAATGTCAATCATCCTACTTAGTTTACTTTCTGTTAAGATCACCAGCATGAAAGGACTGATGGTATGTCTGGTCTTATAAATTAGAAAAACATGTACTTTATTCTAGGTAATTGGACGACGCGTGGAGGTGAAAATATGGCTCAGGTTGCTACTAACCTATTATATCAAGTTATACAACATACCAAGGTATAATAAACATTTGTCTGCTCGAAAAAGCAGTGAATAACTTGTTATTGCAACATTTTTATGATGCTCCGCTCCTGTTAGTCGTCGCTTGATGTTATGTAGCATATAACCCTTGATACATTAAGGTCACAACGAATCTTTTAATTAGAATCAGTTGGTCCTTAAGTTAGGGCGTACAACCAAACTCTATATACATATATTTACAGCGCTGCCAACTAAATTGAATGAATTTAGTTCACAGCTTTCTGGGTAACTATCTCCCGATTTGACTTGGAGACAGGCAGTAGCCACGTCTAAGTCTAGAACTGTACTTTTGCGATTTCTCAAAGGAACTAAATAAAGAAAGAATTAGGAACTGTTCGTGTGGTTTGTCTTTAGGAGCGCTCCTTTAAATTAATATGTTCATGAACTACACAAACCTAATGTGTGTCTGATAGTCGGTCTAGTCATATCAGAAAATTACATATTATGTAGCTCTAACGTTAAATGTACTGTGGTACGTTTTGATGAGTGGATCTGAAACCTAGAAACGAGAAGAGATGTCGTGTAGGCAGGTTATGTGTGCAGCACTATTTTTAAGAATTATTACTTTATATGGATTGATATATAAAATACAAGCGGTTATAAATAAACAATCTAACAACTGTTTTAAATTGCCTGTTGCGTTACAATTTATTATACCCTGCACCCCACTGCCTAATTGGTTTAATATTTATCACATCTATATAGCAGATATATGTGTATTCACGAAACTCGGTAGAAGTGAGTTACGACTTCTACTAAGTCTCGTGAGCGCACCTATCTGCAAGGTTTGTCTGGCGCCGTTTGCGCCAACATGTGGGTGGCAACAGGTCTTCAAATATAAGCTCCAACCATTGAAGTTGCCTCTGATAGCGACGGTGATTCTCTACCCATGTACAAACATGGCCAAGTTCATTCAATCCAAATGACTTTAAAATTAATATAATTTACATAAACAAACAAGATCATAAAGTGTAGGGGATCGATAGATCACTTGATTGGGAGACTCTATTTTTTAAGTCCATATTAACACCGTCGCTGTAATTAAATTGGGATGGTAAGGGTTTAGGAAACATTTCAGCAAAGCATGTAACAATATTTTCGATTCAATTTAATTCTGTTCGTTGTTGAATTTAATTTGACAAGTTTATCCAAGTAGTTTAGTTTGATATTACTAATCCACTACCATTCAAAAGGAATTTTAATTTTGTACTTTCAAAAGCAATTAATCATAATAAAATGAATTAGCTTAATTAATAAGATAACTGAAATAAGCGCTGTAAACTATGTTTCCTGCATTATAGGTACTGAGTTGTGATCCATATTGACTCTGTTTTGAAACACGTTTGTATTTTTATGTCAGTATTGTTATGTCGAAGAATAAATAAAATTCTACATATACTGTTCTATTATATTCTAAATAAATTTGCTGAACCAAATAACTTTGGAATCGGTAGTAAAGTTCAGGTCTTTTTAAAGAAAGAATTGTATATACCTACGTAGATATACCTACCTACATTTTTAATGGAGAATATAGAATAGTGGTAATGGTATACCATAGCGGAGAAAAAGTGTAGAATTAACATCTGACATGACTTCAGGTCAGTTTTCCCAATTCTCCACGAGTTTACCTCGATGGATTCCAGGATGATCGCGTGGAGGGCCAACCAATACAGGGTTAATTGCAAGCACACTGAGATTATTAGCTGAATCATTGAGATCACTAAATAGGATCTAGTGTCTCTTTTATTAACAATACTATCCTTAATTCAAGTCCAAGGTAGTCTTTTTATAAAGTTGGCTGGGTATCTCTATCTCATATATTTCACTACAAAGCTGGTTTTAAGTTTTCTTTCAGTATGGAGGGGAATATGACAGTATAATTACAGGACACGGACGCCACTGTATGTGGTTATCTAGTAGGTAGAAATGGTAACATATGCGAGGTTATCACATGGGTTTCACATATCTATCCACGGCTGTCAAATGATGATATTCATGTATATATACATATTTTGGCAATGTTTACCACTTATTATCATCTTGACCTGTCTGTCAATCCAGTCAGTTAAAAAAACAGAGGGCAAAATATGAATCTCTTAAATAAAGTCAAGAATAGAAATGAGAAAAAGTATCAATGCCGATATTTTAAAATCAATGAATTACGAGTATGTAATATTATTGGAAATGGAATACTTATTCAGTAATTAGGTTAAGTATTGACTTAGCCAGAGGTGAGCACCACGCGGCCCGCGTGCCGTTTGCGGCGCGGCTGTTTGAACTTGTCTATGCGGCCCGCTAAGCAATTCTAAAATTGAACATATTTTATAACTTTCTCTCATCAATATATTATAAAATTAATTATAATAAAATAAACAAACAAAACCGAAACATTTTTTCTGACGAGTTACTCACTTGTCGGCGACTTGTTCACAAGTACAATAGGATCGCGCCGTTTATTAAGTTAAAATTTGTGTGCTTTAGTAATTTTTTTATATTATATTTTATATTCTAATGTTCGTTGTAAATAAAGTTTTGTAAATGATTAATAAGTAGGTATTGGTCTATGTGCGGCTCTCCAAAAAATTAGAAAATCTAAATTGACTCGTTGAGGAAAAAGGTTGCTCACCCCTGGATTAAGCCATTGTCTAGACAGAAAACAATATTATTTTCAACAAAAAAATAATTAGGTATTTACTCGAATTTAAAATATTTCTATAGAATTACAAATATTAATTTTCATTTCCATTTTTCCCAACAGTCTGTCTGTTTGTTTCTTATTTTTTCACGAATAAACGTCAGAACGGGACCTTAATTATAGGACGATGTCATTAACAATTCTGAATTGTAATGAATTGTACAATGCATGGTTTAGCGATGAATTTATAGAAACAGAGAAATTTGAATGTGTAAAAAGTTTCGTAGTCTTGTCGTTTTTAAATTCATGGATATATTTTCTTTCTTTTTGTTTTGATTGTCAATGTTGTTATCACAATGGAAATACAATTTTAACAAATTATAATTATTTGTTAAGTAATATGCGGTTTTGTATTGTCAGTATGTATATCCTACTAATATCTATTACAACGTGGAAGTTTGTGAGTGGGGATGGATGGATGGATATTTGTTAACATTTCCCGCAAAAACTGCTAAACTTTACAATAGCTTATACATCAGATTAACAAATAGGCCTTAATTTAACTTAAGTCGAACCGCTAGCTATGAATATGTTATTATAAACCATTTGAGACTTGTAGATGCGCGCTAATTTGTACGATTTGCAATTGGACCTGTAAAATGGTCTGAACCTACGAGTATAAATATAACTGCAAAACTATTGAGTTTAATTAATTTCAAATGATAATTCTTATTATCATCCATAGTATAATATCTCTATATAGTTTGTGGTAAAATCGTTTCATAATTATGGAGTCTTAATAATATTTTATATTTACATATATATTGCTCTATCAATAGGACGGCCATAAGTTTTGTACCCGTGATCTGTTCCGTATTTCGAACTTTTTTTTCCTATACCTAAGCGGTTTTTACACCGGCTCATTAGAGAAAAAATCTGCCCACCGAGATAAACGGATGGCCACATAAATTAATAAAAGATTTAAACTTAAAACAAGAATTATGACGATAAGGACGCTCTAAATAAATTATTTTATACATTAAGCATATTTAATTAATGTAATTGTTATTATTACTGTCTATATGGTACCTACGTGACCAATAAATTATAAACTCCACTTTGGCTCATTCTAAAGCAAAGTGAGTATATTTGGTATTAATTTAGTCTACTTTAGGCAAAATCACTAGACATAATTGTATTTCCCTGTCTACAATATCGTATCAACAATATCCATTCCATCTCAATAGACGAAGTTGCGAGTCATCGCTAGTTTGACTATATGATATCTGTAGGTGTTTCAAAGTAATTTTATTTTTTGTAACGGGCATTTTCAGTTCTATATACCTACTACTACACGTCGCGCTTCGCATGGGTATTTAATAAAAATTACTTTTCGATATTGATATATTCTAAAAAACTAGTAGGTACATCACTCTAGTCTATTGTCTATAATTCACGTAGTATACGCTACATAATATATTTAATTTTTGTTTATATACATTAATGAGAAAAAATCTTATACAATGCAAATAAATCAAATCAAATCTTTCCTCTTTATAATGTATAGATCGTTATTTATCTTACTAGTCATAAACAGGAACTTAGTAAAAATAGTTATAATCATATAAAGAACATACATACTTACGTCTCAATAAAAATTATCTGATTACATGGTGTTTAAGGTCTTTATAATATTTTATGTATTGTTATATCTAATCGTTTTTATCGATCTTCGGCTGCAGATGACGAATTATTAGATAACAGATTGTTTGTCGATAATGTTTAAAATACAGTTCATTATATTTATTGAGATATTATATTTAATACCACGTAAAATAAACAAATTCGGGTATTATAAAATATCTGGGCAATTTTCGCGTTTCGCTTTTGAGTATTTTGACGGCAGTAGTTCGCTTTGTAGCTTACAAAGCGCTTACGGCTGACGGCTGAACGGAATTACACAAATCCTCTCTCTATGCCCTCTCACAAATCCTCTCTATGTCCTCGGGGTGAGAAGACTGATAGTAATGGCAATTAGTGAACCTATTGCTAGCATTCCTATGTACTAACTGATTTGACTTTATGCTCATTTTACATGTCTACTCGTAGTAGACGAATTCATAGATGACAACAATATATCTAGTAAAAAATAAGTTAATTTAAATACAATGTCATGACTTTCTTGATTTAATTAATTGAGTAATATGAAAGCGTTACTCATTAACGCGGTTTTTGTATTGATTGTCGCATGCATTTATAAGTACCTAAAGTGGTTTTTAAGGGGCGAGTGCAGATGGCACTCCAATACCCGCGGAAGGACTTATGAAGAAGCTGAAGGTCAATTCCTGCCTTACATATACGACTTTAGTCTGAGGGCACCACTAGAGGTGCCTCGGCTCAGGCCGTCGTAATTATGATCCCCATTTGAATCGAGCGATCGAGGCGATCGTGAGCACCAGGGGTAAAATGTGAATACTATAACTATCATATGGTAATTTCATGTACCATCGACGTGGCCGAGTGTCTTAGTTGTCATTCTCACTAAAATGTCCAGACATATGGCAGCATGATGGGCAGGGTCATAAGGCTCCCTAAAATATGGTCAATCGCAGTGATGGCTGGATCATGGTAGATAAAATTAAGTGATGACTATTCAAAAGTGCTTCAATGTAAGTTTATTTGAATAAATTATTTTCTATTATATTCTATTGGTGCCGCGAAACGTATCCCGTTAGCTTAGGGGGTTGCATCATTTTATCCATTATACTATGTATATTCTTTTTAGGGATGACATCTTAGTTCTTTACGGAATGGTAAGGCATGACTAAACCGCGTCCATCCTACGATGACTTGACGTTCGGTGAAGATGACGTTATTGTTCATATAAATACCTATATAGACTTTGAATAGTATTTGAGACGTAACGAGGTATCAGCTATTATCGGGCAATAAATTATAATAGCAATATAAACGGTTGTACGTATACATTGCTGTGGAAAATGATAAGAATAAAAATGAGTACGTAATGGAATTAGAGATCAATAGAATTTAATAGCATCTGATTATTATACATTATCTCTGTAAGTATATGTAATAATTGGAGAAGTCAATTAAAAAGAAATAAATTTGGCCCGGTAAATACAGTATTATGCAAATTAAGGAAACATTTGGAGTCGTGTCGTATCTACCTTTATAAACATTGATGGAAAATCGTGGCAAACGGCAAGAGCTCCACCGTCGATCCGGATCTTAAATTATGAATAATGTCCGTTTAAAACTTAGCTACCTGTTGAACATTTTCTTTAAATCAGACATCCAGTATCATTCTCCATATATTTCAGTATATTTTACTTTTTTTCATTTCTGGGGATAAAACAAAATTGATACTCAGAAAATAGTAAAAAGTCTACCAGCAATACTTTAATATTAAATTAAAGAGCTTTTGCTTATGATTTGCTTTTATATCCGACTGGATCTGATATACATCTAATTTATAACGGTTAAACTTTTAACATAAAGATCAAACAAAAAATAAAAAACTAGTAACTCTCGCTTCACAGTTGCAGCTGATATTGTAGCTACATACCTCGTAGAAGGCGTAGATGTACGTAGCATTTGTTGTATAAAGTTACGTAGTACGTAGACCTTAACCTTGCTTAATTAAATAGTAACAACCGACACTTGTTCAGAATCCAGACATATGAAATTATACAGAAGCGAAAGTGAAAGGTAATCAATACAGGAGCTCAATTTAGAATCGGTAGTTTATATTAGTGCAAAATCTCTGCTATCGGATTGGTCGGTATGAAATCTCCCGATAAGTAAGGTCAATCTGTCTGCTCCTGACAAATATATCTGAGAGAAGGTTACTTGTATTAATAAAGAGAGCTATTTATGGTCCTAATTATTGACATATTGTCATATCTTCTCCGAGAAATAAGTAAAACAACTTCCTGCATTTGCGTAATATCAGTGAAGGATGAAATTAAGTAAGTTGGCCACTAATGGCAAATTCACCATGAATTAAACCACCACAGTTTTCAAGAAATGGGCATGATGTTTAACTATACCATATCTAACTATGTGAAGTTCCCCGAATTAGAGGGGATTGTGATTAATGGGAACTAATGGCGCCATTACTAACAATGTACTCAGACAGGTCGACCCTGTGGATATCAACCCAACACCACTAAAAAGCATCCCGATGAATTCGCTATAATAGACTATCTGATCACTGCATTATCGCCCATAAAAATAAACTATCTCAACTTGTCACTAACAATTCTTTTTATACGCCGGGCGGAGCATCTCTTCCCAATCTACACTCGATTTAACCGAATAATGCTAAAAATTTGTTAGCATCATATTAACAAATTTTGACGTGGGAAAGCTCGTGGCGTAATTGTGCATAGCGTTGTTGTGAAGGTTAGATTTCGGTCGGTATGTTTAAGAGAGTATTTGCGTTCATAAACACGTCATAGATAGATGTTTCTATGTAACTTTATAGTTCATTTTACAATTAATTTGACCGAGATAGTGTTTTTAAAAAGTTGTCTGCGTGGGTATTGGGGTAACCACTGAGGTCTCATATTTCAGTCAATAGGCTTTTTTTGTATATTGTTTCTGTGGGAGTGTGAGAATAGACTATGATTACAGGACATGATTTCTGGAAGGACAACGCATGAGTATCACCGGCGTATATAATATAGTTGTTGCTGACGTACTTGCCAAATCCTTTTTTAGTTCATATATGTATTTTCTACAGAATTTTATTATATATTTTTCTATGTAGAACATTTTAGTGTCGAATAAAGATTGTGACAGACAACAACAGTACTAGTGTATACTGTAAGTATACACTAGTATATATAGACTGTTAGATTTAGGAGACCGTTACCACTTACCATCAGGTGGCCGTCAGTTTGCATATAAAAATAGTATGATGAGGTTTATGAATATTAATGTTATTGCTTAATGTAGTTATTCAAAAGTGTGAGGGAGCGTGTGTGTATGGGAGCAAAATAACAAACTGAACGTCAATAATGTTTATTGAAACCGTCTGAAAGTCTGAGTAGGTGATTTACTCGTGCATATTATTATATTCTCTACATACAGTACAGCACGATCCATAAACAAACTAATAAATACAAATACTTCGTGTTATGCGAGAATCGAATTCTCGACCATTGGATGTAAGACGGTGTATTAAATAACTTGACCCTGATCCCGTTAATAGGTGTAGTCTAATCCATAATAATATACATGTGGAAATGAGTTTATCTGTCTGTCTGACTATTGGTTACCGTTTCACGAATAAACGGCTGACCGGATCTTAATGAAATTTGAAATGAAGATAGACAAACGCGAGGTATAAAAATGCAGACGAAGTCGCGGGTACTAATTTCTAATGAATGAAGTGTTAAATTGCTTCTAATTGGGATATTGTAAGCTACATGACGACGGTAAAAATAGAAATGACAGCCATAAAGTCTAACGCGCCCACTTACGTCTCAAAATATATCTAAGGTGTTTGCAATCAATACATATCTATATAATAATAATACTAAGTAAATCATAAACGCTCGGTATTAACAAAGATAACATATAAAATGTCAGTAATCCACACGACAATAGATATTGTTAAGTACGTAATAATAATATGAATTTAGTATTTGATAAATCATTGATACTGTGGCATGTTTGTGTTGATAGACTAGATTAATAAACTATATAAATATGTTGTAATGGAAACTGGTGCTCGATTTATTGAATGGAGGTATGGTGTTCCCGAAAAAGTATCGCGCTGTAACTGTAAGTATTTATATATAAACAATGAATGCATCATTATATTTCAGATTGCAGTTTATCTATATACGGACTATAATTATTGAACGTAATAATTACACAGTACCGCCATAGTGTTCTAATTTATTTACTATAATGAACCATTAACGCTACAGTCACTGCAGGCCACAGCTTTCTCACCATAAGCGGAGGATACAAGTTTGCGATTAGTATTAGAGTTTTCATATTAAAGAAGCAGAGGTAGCTACATACTTTTGAAAGCGTCATGGTCTGAGTACTTGTTTTGTCGTACTGAAAGTTCTAACTGACCGACACAAAAAACTTTATGCTAATTTATATTTAAAACTCTCTAGTAATAAAAAAATTGAAAACAATCCTAAATTAATTTGAGAGACTGTGGTAGGTCCTTCGGTACGTTGACGATTGAAATATACCCGATGGTACGGGTTCGGTTGTCGCATAATACAAACATTTCTATTTATGAGAATGGTTTTTGATTTTTATGTAGTCGTATATAGATAAATATATTGAAACTTTTCAATCAGAGGTAAACCTAATACCTATAACCTTTGCTTAGTTTAGAGACTCAATGACGATGTATAAATTTTTCGGGGTTATTTGTATTATTATACAAAAAAGACTTACGTACTCCTTTTTAAGGGTGTAAAATATAATATGTTCACGCGGATCTTAACCTAGCTTAAATGAATTTTGATTAATGAGAACAAATTACTAAATTATTATAACAGCTTACGGAATGTAATTTCTTTCTCTTTTATTAGAAACTATGATTAATTTGCATTCCGATACTCGGCAAAGTACCGGCAGCTCACATATAGTTCAAGCTAGTTTCAAACTAGTTAGAACTACGTATAACTTTATACATTTATGTTTCAATAAATTGAATTGAATATAATTTTCGATTGAAATTTGAAACTGAATTTACACATGAATGTCCTTCTCTGAAACAGTGTTAGAGGCAAAGACGACATTATTCTGAATTTAATCCACCAGTTGCTTCTTTGGCATCTTGTATACGCAAGAAAATAATTATCTACCTATTTTTACGACATTATCTATCCCCGAATACCAAGGAAATTACTGTGAATTTTAAAATATTATTATTTATCAAATACTAAGTAATTATAATTATTTTTATTATTAAACTATACAATAATTACGTAATTGACTAGAAGCTGTCTTTATTACAGGATTATTTTATATATTAACGTAATATATATTTCACCAAGATATATATAATATTTAAAATAATTAAAAAATTCCAGCTCTTTTTGTTTTTGACAGAAAGGCATTACTATTATATTACGGTGCCTACCTTAAATGTTTCATAATCATCATTTATCATCTGAAGATGAAACCGAAAATAAAACAGCTAATTAGAATTTTAATATCCTCATTCATCACTTAACGATATGTTTTTTCCAGTAATTTAATTTCAAAACTGAATACATTAGATAACATTTTTATAGCGTCAATAATATAATTTTACGTAAAAATAAAACGAAATCAATTTATCAGTTTATTTAGAATTTTATGATAATATACTTAAAAACACAAAATAGAAGCAAATTTTAGAACTCCACATTTTTAAAGTCATATAAAAACACTGTATAATTGTAATTAGTGGTTTTAATAAATGTGTTCAAATAAGTAACTATCAAAATATTTATTTAAATTTGAGCGACGCACCCCATTATATAATTAATATTGCTAATATTATATTTTCCAAAACTTATTATGTACATATTATAGAGCATATTAACACCTAGATTTTTATCATAATCTTCTATCAATTTTATTTAGTTTAGTTTTCTTTAACAAAGAGAAAATCTTAATACCACAGTCCGCAAAACACTTGTTGAAAATAAGTTATAATAACTGCTAAAAATGATAACAAATACTATGTATTTTCACAAATATTACTACTAAATTAAATAAGAAAGAATTATAAATTCACTCACCTGTTTCTCTGACATCATTAAAGCATCTCAGAAAGTATTATTCAATTATTATTAATGCGACGATGGATACGATCACACGCCGTCTAACTTCTAGTTGAACTAAGCTGCATTAAGTAGTCCTAGAATAAACATAGCTCCTACTCGGAGTATTTGACAACAGATATAGTTTTTTTTAAAATACATTTATGCATACACAATATAATTATTATAAATAAACATACAAATCGAACGGATATATCATTCGCAAACATTAAAAATGAACATTTAAGTAATTTTTAAAAATTAGTATTTACACAATAATAATTTTGAAATAATTCTATATGTATTAAATACTATATATATATATATATATATATATACCATATATATTTATTTATATATATAATATATATTATACTATACTAAATAAATCAGTATACAGCAAATCATGGCTCTTATTCAAATTTCGAATTTATATTTTGTTAAATAAGTGAGTTGTAACTTAATTTAAAAGTTTTGTGTAGCTTCGTTACGGACTTTAAAACTGTGTATAGTTTGCCTAAGGGTTAACTGAATAAAATATAAGTAGTTGCAATTATGCAAGGTATAATTTCCGTAATGCATCGGCAATTATTAACAAAATAATTTGATGAAATTGGTTCGCAGCCTTGGCATTTCTAGATAAGAACCCTGATATAAAATTAAATAGGGTGCTATATTACTCTATGGTATAGAGGGGTGGATGTGGGTCGCATGCGCGAGTTGCAAGTTAAGTTTGGGCGTGCGACAACTGATCACAGAACGCGGCAGACGCTTGCGTGAGGCACCATTGATCCAGCGCGCGGCCCACGCTACCGCTACATCAAGCAGTCGGTCGCCGACGCTGCGTCGACCACCGACCCTCACCATGCAACCCCCACCTAGAAAGGTGAGTGCACCAACACCCCAGGTTCACGGCTACGAGTTAACTCTCTCAAAACTTGACAACCGCATTTACCATTCCAAACATCAACTTTGTGACATTGAACGTGTAAAACGTGTTAGATAGTGAATGAGATTCCGATGCGGGAATCACTATGTTTTTTACTTTACAGAGTCGCGTACCCTCACGCCATTAAATTATGTAACTTAAATATTCTGTGTCAAAATACACCACCGCAATACTACTTACGAAATGCTGAGCGTTAAGATTGAGTTAATTGATTATTACCTACTTATATTCAGCTGAGTAGGAGCGATGCGTGCCCCAATTTTTGTTTTTGGGGCAAAAAAAAATTGTCTTATTTTTACTGAAATTTTGGCGTAGATAAATCATTAATTGATTAGAACTTACTAATCATGATTATTAATATTGTATGGACCAATGCGTGATGTTGCGTTACTATGTAACAAACAAACGGGTATATTTTTATGTACCCAAAGTCAATTGTGTATTTATATACACGTATCTTAAATTTTATTATGAAAGAAGAATTTATTATATTAAAGCGGTTATGGAATGTTGACAATTCACGATACCTATAATTTTTACGTCCAATATCTTGACGTAGCACTATAAACACATTCTATGAAACTTCAGGAACTTGAGTTATTTCTAGTTGAGTCGGCTCCAAAGCACTGATATTGCGTTGATTAAATGGGATGGAACATGACTGAATAGAGAGCAATTTTCTAATAAAAATAGCAACAGCAATAATATTCTGTAATTTAATGGTTATAAATAATAAACAACAATTTCATGGCACAGCTTTACCTATTTCGAAAGCTAGGGCTAAATGTATAACATTGTACATGTATTTGTAAATAAAGTTTATTATTATTGTTATGTTTGATGTTGGTTTTATTTACACGGATTTTATACGTACCTATACATACGATATATGTAAATAGTTCCTATATTCATATTACGTAAATTAATGTAATTGTCCAACTAAAAATAATTTATTGACGTAATTACACGTCAGTAAAAACTTTTAGATCAAAAGTTGTTACATACATAATTCATGTAATGTTCAAATTATTAACATTATAAATATTACCTGTGTATAATACTCATAAAGTCATTCTATGATATAAACTTAAATCATACACAATAAACTACTAAAATATTAAAGACAAGATGTCCTTTATTTGTTTAAAATAATTAAATGATTATCATAGACCAAAAATTATGAAACTAGAAAAAATCGAGCTGTAAAAGGCCTCTACAAAAATAGACTAAAGGATTTTCCGTTTCTTAAACGGTATATTAAACTCGTACACATTGTGTTTCTTTCTTTCACTCTTTAATTTTAAATTATATAAAGCAAATATACAAGTTAATTTAATTTTAAATGTATTATACGTAATTTATAATTTCAGAAAATTATAGAATAATCCGATAAATTTCCCAATCACCTGCGATATAATTTATTTTAATTTGGTTGGCTTCGGTGACATAATTATATTTGTAAACACTTTATAACGGGAAAATCATAGACTACGCGGTTATTTACTCTTAAATTTGTAAATTTAAGTTCTACCCACCGCATTCTGCCTTGCTCTACCTTGTTTTGCGACGTTTCAAACAATTTCTTCCAATTCTTCAGACCGATGGTCTTCTTCTTCTTCTTAGTTTCTCTCCCTTCTTCTCCGTTCTATTCCGTTTTACTCTTCTACAAAGAAAATAAGACAGTCTTGTAAATTGCCACCATCACTACAAACATAATTTTCGTTAATGTCAAATATGATTGGTTGTCTATGTACATGTACACAGAAAATGTACATGTTCAATCAACATGAAGTACGCTATTTTTGAAATTATTTATTAAAAAGTACTTAATTTAGTTTCAGTATTAACTAAAACCATAAATAAGAAATTAGATATTAACACAAAACGTTAATTTGTCTTTCACTTAATGCTTGAGAGAAATGATTATATCAGATAATATATAAGATATCAGACAATATGGCCAATTTCAATACAAAAGGTTAATGGTTAATAATTCATGTTAAAATGAATAAAAAGCATTTAGATAAAATGCATAACAAGTTCTCATATTAACC